CAGCTTTTGTTCGAATAAACACGGTTTAAGTTCTGAGGCAATCCTTCATCACCTTCATTCAACGAACTCGCAAAATTTATCGGGTCGTAAAAATTGAGCGAAACGGCGAATAAACAAAACCCGGATGCACAGCCGTTATTTCTACGGAACACTTGCGCAAGACATTTTCCCCGAGCAAACCAAGGAAGATCAATATTTGTCAAAATGTTTAGTCTTCTTTTTCTCCTTTCGTGAAGAGGTTCACATTTTTTCAAGCAGTCACGAAAAACTAACATGGAGGTTTAAAAGTTTCGCTTGCCAAATTTCAAAGAAAGAAAAAAGGTTCGTCTTCGCGTCTGGAAGTGAACCATGATTTTTTTTTTACATTAAATTTCTGATACTTTCAGCTGTCTTGTGCAAATGAAAACTTTGTCCTGTTTACCTGCTAAACAGCAGATCGAAATTCTTATCATTTAAACCAACACTTGACAGAAAAGACGCAAATAAAAACACTCAATCCGTTATTTTTTTTAATTATTCTTTTCGTATCCATCAAGAGCTCTGTTGAAACAAAGCACGAATGCTTATCTTATAGAAACATGAGTCATCATGTTCATGTGTACATATTGTAATGGGTTTATGCGCGTATTATTATTATTTTTCATTATTATATGCAACACACTATTGTGTTATAAATAAAGTGATAGTTCTGTCACATAAATGTTCCACTGCTAAAATGCACTTTCGTGAAAACTATAGAACTACTATAGCATTATAAATTACTAGAGTAAAACATTATTTGTTTTATTGAAGAATTGTTTTTAGGCTACTTCTTCAATCTAGCTTTGTTTGTGCTGAAAAATTTTGAATTTCATATATTTGGCTTATATTATATATATAAAATACTTATTACTGTATTGTAATTTTGAGAAATTCTAGATTTTTTTAATTTTCCGATTTTCTATTGCATCCAAATAAAAAATAATTTTTCTTTAACGAATAATTCCATAATTTTCAAAGCAGACAAGCCCCTTCATACATCAAGAACCGCGAGGTTCTTCGTCATTATTCAGAAATCAGAAGTCAGTGCATTATCTACAATTCTGCAGAAGTATGCTATAATAGTAATTATAAGCAAATCGAATCTAGTAATGATGTATATTCAAATGGAAATATATTTTGAAAGAATAAAATTAACTGGATTGATTTTTTCAACTCTGGGAACGAGACGTGTCTCTCCGTTATATAATATGTAATGTATAGCTAACGTATAGAAATCACAAAGATTATATTTAAAATTATGATATGAATAAGAAAATATTTCATAAACTTGATAAAAAAATTAGATATTGAATAAAAATCTAGCCACATACAGCTGCTGTAGTATAAAGTACTAGTTATACTTTATCAAATGATTCCCATAGCTATAATTGCAGCATTGCTTTTTTAAAGTGTGTTGCATCATCAGTGAGAGGCTATACGTGAATAATCCATGCATTTTAATTAAGATTTAAGCAATATAATGAGACGTGTAATGCTCGTTTTTTCTAAATATATGCTGCAGTTAATTTTAATGGATGACAAAGAAATTTTGATAGAAACTCCAAGTATGATTTATTTTCTTCGTGAGCAGGTTTTCATGGAACTGGAGGCTATTTGACAGTAACAGAAACCCCTTGGAGAAGTCGCCTGGGTTTGGCATTTTTGGCAGCTGGGGTTGAGATGGGCTACGATCTGGTTGATGCAAATGGAGCAACCCAAACAGGTGATGATTCTATTGAAAAACATTGATTTTAATTTGCTGCCCATTCACTTTGAGGGCTGATTTGGAAAAGCAATTTTCACTAAAGCATGACGATCAACACAGCTAACATTTCGTCTTCAATTGGGCCAAGTTTCATATTTCTTCTGCGCAGTTTACAAAATGAAAGCGTATCTCGACGTTACACATGTGTCATATTACTAAATACTGTACCATTTTGGAAAAAGTAATCTCTTTTGTATATGATTTTGCTGCTGCGTGACGTATAGGCAGCAGTAAATCAGCATTTGCTTCAAACACTGATCTCATGAACATTCCTCACTGGTTGTAATTTTCAGAACGTCCCGCAGGATGCAAAATTTTCTGAATTTTGGGTTTTTTATTTTCTTCGAACAGACTGTAGAGTAGAACATCACGGTTTCCAACTGGCCGGTTAGCTCAGCTGGTTAGAGCGTGGTGCTAATAACGCCAAGGTCATGGGTTCGATCCCCTTACTGGCCATCTTTTTTTTCTTTCTTACTGACAAGTTTTGCCAAATAACAAGAAAATGTTCCATACTACAATAGTATGCAGTAGATTTTTAGCATTTTACTTGCTTTCTCCATTCAAAAATGTTTGTGCAATGTTCAGCCCGCCCATGAATACTGTATATTATTTGATCCAAAGAATCCAAAAAATTAGATTGCTATAGCTTTTGAGTCAGGGAATTTGTCTTGATTTAGGCTGGTGTAAATCAATATATTCTTTTTCAAAATTATTGGATCTATTATTCATATATAAAAATTTGCTGTATATACTGCAGTTCCAAAAAAAAAAGGCCTTATTATTTACATTCTACTTTAAAGTTGAGGAGGTTTACATTGCATAATAAGGTCTTATTAAAATAATGCTATCAATATATATAGGAATAAGGTACAACTTCAGCTTAACTGTTTGTACATAAAGGCATGATTACTGATGTATAATAGCGCAGTTACGTATTCCTTCATTGCTGCTGGAGAACTCCGTCATTTTACATGCATTTCATGTATAATCCAATCACGTGAAATGTGCGCTTCTGGCAATTATGGCTTTCTGTTGCGGATATAATTAAAATTAAGCTGTGCCACTTTCACTCAAAAATAACTAAAAAATGAGCAAAGAATTGAGAATGAAACCAAGCATATTCTGCAGCAGTCACCTTTCTGCATGACTCAAAACGCCATCTTTTTTTAACCAGCTTACATCGCAGTGGCTTCAATAAATATATATTTTATTTGCACATATTATCAACATAACATGTGACTGAATTATGTAAATTTGATGACAGATATCACACATATTATCAACATAACATTTGACTGAATTATGTAAATTTAATGACATAATTTAAGTTTGTTTTTGTGCGTTGATAGTAAGGTGCATCGTGATCCAGAAAAAAATGGTCTTGTGGCAATAAATGAAAATTGGGTGAAACTGTGTGCAATCCATCCTGCTCTGAAATTATGCCAATTCCACAAAAAATACAGTCTATCCAAAGTTTCAAACCTAAATTATATACATTACAGTAGTATAAGTTTTCCAATTTGAAAAGAGTCCTGTTCTTGAATTTCGTTCGTCGTGAAAATGTACATTTCCTCTATTTATCAATATTATGGGCAGATGAGTTCCCCGACGCTGTTCAACACACAGAATAAAAAAAAAGTGTCAGAAACTCAGAAGTCAGAACACAGCATCTGTCATTAAATCGCTGATGTTGGATTTGCGACTCATTATTCTGAGATCAACCCAGGGATTAAAATAAGCGAACTTTCCATTTTTAGAACAATGTCAATTCTGCGCATCAGCGTGACTTTATATTAGACATATTGTTCCTTTTTAATTCAGTATACCTTCGCAGGATTTATGATCGCCCAGGGAACGACCCGACGCGGGCGCAGGTGCAGCACTGCCAAGGCATTTCTCCGTCCTGTTCGACTCCGGAAAAATCTCCACATCTCTCTCTTCACCTTTGTTCACAAGGTATATACAGTATATGTTTGTACAGTGTTTATTTATCTCTTTGTTTGTTTTTGCATATGTTGGAGAGGAAAACAAAAAAAAGTATAGCAATCGTTCTGTCTCTGGACAAAATGTATCTTTCGAAGCGAAATGAGAAAAACGGAATACCGTACCTTTGAATTTATTCCCAGCAGCATCAGTTCGACTTTCTCTCTCGATCCCTGTAAAGCGAGTAAAATCGAAGTGATATACCCGGCGAAAACGCGGCGAATGCTGGGAAAACAATGCCTAACTTTTCCTTTCAAGGAAGCCCTTTTTCAGGAAATCTCGTTTGTTGTCCCTTATTGTCTCTCTCTTGTCTTTTATATCGAGCAGGTTTTGATTGACAGGAATGACAAGGCATTCGCCATCAAGTACGAGAAGCACGGGAGGATCGGACACGCTTTTGCCAAGAAAGAAATAATTCTCTCTGCTGGAACAATCGGTTCCCCGACGATTCTAATGCATTCCGGAATTGGGCCAAAAGAACATCTCGAGGAATTTGGGGTATTTATATACTTTACATCTACTGTACATCAGTACAAGACTAATACCATCAATAAAATGCATGGGAAAAACTGAGCTTTAAAACGCGTAGTCAAGGCATTTTGTCACACACATCCGATGATCTATTCGGCCGTACTAACTCCAAGAAGTCATCCTGTATATATACGAGGATGCAATGTCTCAAATTTCTGCTGAAAATATTGGAAAGATTAAATAAAAATTGCTTGACGTCTTGATAAATTGCCCTATGAAATCGAGTACCGTTCAGTGTTGCCAACGTGCTGTTATTCAAAATAAAAAAGCTCATATTTTCGAGTGGCATTTTCGAAAACCTGGTGGAGAAAATTCCACAGACAAAATACAATTCCTTTTTCTTCAGGTTGAATAGGCCACATCTTTTCTGCAGAATTTCCAAATTTTAAGCTACTGCATTTTTACCTTTTCTGATGATATCCAATCCCAAAATTGGCAAGACCACGACGTGGCATATATGCATGCTGGTCGCATGAGGCTTATAAATATTGAAGTAAAGTAGGTACATCTGGTATTATTTCAGAGCAAAAGTTCTCAAAGACATTTTTCGGAGAAGTTGAATTTGTCGTTGTTCTTATATACTGTATTTCCTATTGCCGAAGATTCCCGTTATCCGTGATCTGCCGGTTGGGAGAAATCTGCAAGACCATATCGGAGTTTTCGGGCTGAATTTTTTGGCGAAGAAAGGCTTGGCCTTCAAGCAAGACCGCTACGAAAAGCTTTCTTCCATCCTCAAGTATTATCTGAAAGGCGAAGGTGAGGGATTTTCGATTTCTAGTCTAAATACTGTATAATATGCTGAGATACTTCTGTACTTGATTATTTTTGAAAAATGAGTCTTGCATCCCATATCATGCAGCAGTTATTGCTTGATAAACTGCATATGTGATAGATTTTCTTATTGATCGCTGAGGTTGATTCTCATTATTTTCAGTTTACTTGGAAGAAACCTGTAAGTTATTAAATACGGTAAGCGTTGTCAAAGTTCCTTCCTCTATCAGTGATGCATCCCCGTGTATTTATTTTTACCGCATTCGGCGGGTCACTGCGCAAATAAATTTTGCCAAAACAATACTATACTGTGCCTCAATACGACATGTGCAGAATTTATTTCAAAGGTCGTGCAATATTTTTATGCTGTATTCAACAGCAACAACTCTTTAAAATTATCTAGAACTACAGTATATGCATAAGCGGTCTAAAATAATTTCATACAATACTGTACTAGCATATCCCAATAGTTATTATCATGAATTGATGGCTATATGTATATCCACCTTCCAGTATCATCCGATGCTTTGACTATCCATAAATTAATTTTTTGCAGTAATGTACAGTTTACAGTAATACGTATATATATATAATATACAGTATACTGAACAATATGAAGTACAGGATATATATGCATGCTTAATTTTTCTGAACTGCAGTTCCTGTAAAACCAATTGCGAACGGACTGCTTGGCATTTTATATAGTTCACCAGTGGAAATGTGATTTGATTCCCTCATCAATTCCTCTTGATCATTGAAAAAAAGTCAGTCATTTTCAGTGGAATAAATTATCCAGGTAAAAAATGTTGCGTCTTATGTAAAATACAGTAATATCTAGCTGTTCTTACGGGGATGTTATTCAGCTATATTTCCTTCATTAACACAGGATGTGTTTCGATTCTCCTTCCCCAAAAATATCAGGTCCACTGACCAGTATTGGAGGAGTCGAAGCCCTTGCTTTCATGCACACCAAGTACTCAAATGATTCCAATTTGCCCGATGTGGAATTCCACTTCATCCCAGGATCTCCAGCAGCAGACGGTGGGCGACATCTGTGGAGGGCGCAGGGTTTACCCTTTGAAGTGGGTGTCGTAACTTTTAATACTGTACTGTACAGTAAAATCGCATGCTCTTATAGATGACCCAACCATCATACTTTCGAATGCTTACAGGATCTTATTCATCGATGCATTATGCATCGGTTAAAGTAATGCATAGGATTACATGATGGGTTAAAATATTCCCAGCAACATATTCAAATGATCGAGTTCAGCATTTTTATATATTCTTCCTATAGGAAGTTCAAATACTGTAGTCGACTTTAGCATGTTTCATTATTCCTTCCAGTGAGTGATCCTATCGCATTTTATTCTTCCTTTCTAAACTTTCTCAAACGTGCATCAGATCGCAATTCGAAACATATTTCGAAATATTTTACATGAAGAGCTGCAGAAGAAAAACCCCTAAGTAAGCATCACACAGTATACGACCGCTGATGAAAGTAGCCATATATAATAACCCTTGAATCATTTAAATTGCATTACAATGCTCGGATTCTCGTTGTTGGGTATTTTTCAACTCCATTAGAATATGTTTGTGTTTATCTTATATTATAATACATCTGTTAGAGGTCTGGATTCATATTACTTTTTCTTTTAATCCTAAAAATGACGTTCCTCTTAATGCCCCCACCGATCAGGAGTAGGAGAAAGCTACTGTACATACAAGGGTTCTAACAAAAGTTCTCGGAATGAAAATGAAAATGGCGTCTAATCAAGCTGGAAAAAAATTATTCTTTAGGGCAAACATATTCTTTGGCACAAAAAAAATCAGCCCTGTTTGACAATTTTTTGTCAGCCACCACATTGGCCCCAATGTGGCGCAATGAAAATGGCGGAATTGCCTTGGATGACCTGGAGGCAACCCTTGGAATCACTGCCACATTGATTTCAAGAATTCTGAGGGGAAAGCTGGGCCTCAAAAAAAAAACTGCAGGAAGGGTGCCTCATCTGTTGAGTGGATAGCAAAACTCTGCCAGGGTGAATTTTGCAAAACATTGAAAAAAATTGTCAAACAGGGCTGATTTTTTTTGTGCCAAAGAATATGTTTGCCCTAAAGAATAGTTTTTTTCCAGCTTGATTAGACGCCATTTTCATTTTCATTCCGAGAACTTTTGTTAGAATCCTCGTATGTGACACGACAAATTCCTATATAAATATTAATGTGTCATCACTAGCGTACGAGCACAGATGAGCTATGTGAAGAATTTGAAAACCTATAGAGAAGAGCATACTTTTTTCCGATTCGATGTCATTTGTTACAATCTGTCTGAATATTTATTTTTTGTTCATTTTTGCTCCCGGCATCTCGCGAAGGTGTATGAAGAATTTTATGAGCCGCTGCTCGACAAGGACGTGTGGACGTGCTTGCCGATGCTGTTACGCCCGAAGAGCGTCGGGGTCATCAAGCTTCGAAGCAGCAACGTTTACGAGTACCCCCTCATTTACCCCAACTACCTCACCCACCCCCTGGACACTGCCACTTTGGTGGAAGGTATATATACGGCTATTTACATTTTCTGCAACCATAAATACGGTACATTCAAAATTCCCAAGAATCAAACCTGGAATATCCTACAATCAAGCACACGCACCAGAACTAAGTCAGACATTCCAAGGTGTACAGTACATATTTTACAGCAGGGTCTAATTCATGTTTACGGCAGTGTACCACATCACCGTATTTACTCAAGTACCACGCACACCATTTTCTTTCCAGGGGATGGTGCGCGTTATAAATGTGCGAACAATTTTTAAAATGTTTAAAAGTTAGGTGCTCATAATACTTGATCTTTAAAGAAAGTTTTCAAAGAAGTTAAACACTTATTTTCAATGAAAACGATGAAAAATTACCAGAGTTCAATTCAAGTCAACATTTTAATTGATGCATTTCATTTTCAAAACTTTGCGAAGCAGAGCGAATTATACTCTGGGATAGGGTTTAATCAAATTTCTATAGCACCAGAAAAGCATGTGCATGTCTTATTTGAGGGTGCGTGGTACAGTACTTCAGTGAATATGGTACAGTACTTATTTTTTTTAGTAAAATCAAACCTCTTCAAGTCAAACATCAAACTCAAAGGGGCCCACAAAAATTCAACTCAATAGCTTTTTGAGTTGGAGAAGTCAGCAAATTTTGCTGGGAAGTAAATTGCAGAATTACAGGATGGTAAAATTGGGGACGTTTCATAAGCCTATTAATCTGCTGGATAAATGAGCTGAAAGGATCCTGAACTTGGAAGGAAGGGTACATTTTGCCCAATTAGTCACTCACTTCCTTTGGATAAGTATCAAGATACATTTTTATTTCTCTTTGCCTTATTCCTTACTTCCCAATATAATGGGTTGAAGGCCTCTCAAAATCGGAGTGGATTAAAGGTGTTAGGGGTAAAGTAATCAGATTACGGAGGCCCAAGTTACCCGACTCTTATAGGATTTTGGACAGGGACTAAACAAAAATTTGAAATCCGGAAGTTTCTGACTTCGCGAGGTTCAATTGCATTCCAATGAAAAAAAAAAGTTTCAGAACAGGACACGAATCCAAAACTGCTCCAGCGCAAATTCTGTGCGCTTAAAAGTTGAATATTTTTACTTAAAAATTACACAGCGAGCTCGTGAGCATTTCAACACTCATCCCGATGCGATTTTTTCTCCCGCTTCTTCCTATAGCTCTCAAAATGATGATCTTGATGTCAGAGACGAAGGCGTTTAGGGAAGTTGGAACGCGCGTTTACGCGAGGCCGTTTCCGGGTTGCGAGAACCATGATTTATTTTCGGACAAATACTTCGAGTGCCTCGTGCGACACACCACGCAAACCATTTACCATCCCGTTGGTACCGCCAAAATGGGACCATCCTGGGATCCTGAAGCAGTCGTGGACCCAGAACTCAGGTTAGCCACAAATAAAAAAAGACAACCTAAAGGTGGCCTATATTAACAAACTTAATTGGTTCCAAACAAAAGTTTCTTAACTTGAGATTTACTAGTCCTCTCAACAAATGAGCCTTTTTTTAAATATTCGCAGAAGTAGTAGTGATCACAAAGATCGAATCAATCATCATCAGGTCAGAAAAATACTGTATCTACAACTCAAGTGCAAAAAATTGGTACCAAAGATGGAAGTGAATTTTACGATAAAACAGTGTGAATTATTGAGGCCGCGAGGCTCATTTCTTAATGAACAATCCTTCTACCGTATTAGAAAAATCGATCCCATTTTTCAAGCGGAATACATGTACTGTACTGTGGAAAGATCACGAGTTTCCAGATAAAATATGTTCAATTTCCGAACTGAAAAATTGCAATGACTTCAATTACCGATGATTTTCATTTGTCGTGAAGATCAAGAGCTCGATTCATAATTTTATAACGATCACCAAAATTATTGATTCAGCATCCATTAAAAAACTAACCCTGGAAATATAGTTTAACCTTGTTTTCATCGCATGATCTAAGCTTCGCTTTTTTTTCAAGTTTTTTATCTCCCACAAGTCCAGGGAAGTTGATCTCATAAATTCGTCATCTCTATTACATAGAGAATGGGATATTATGATTTTTAAATCGACGGGTATGAACCGCCCTTTTCTCCCAAGAGTCATTCAGTATCTGTTGTACTGAAGTGTGTAAATGAAATAAAGCAGTTCAAATCACGCGATATACAGACTGCTTAATTTTCTCTCAATTGAATTATGGACACATTTAACTAATCTTAGCTAATTAAAATGTGATGGTAAAATCTTAAATAATTCAAATTTAATACTGTAGTATGAATCTTAGCTACCGTACGAGGTATTTACTCGATTACGTGCGCCCTCAAGTAAAGCACCCACCCGAATTTTTTAGCCTGAAATTCAGGTAAAATGCATCCCCCCAAATGTACATGCACCCGGTCCCCCCCCCCTTTTTTTTAGGCTGATAATTGAAAAATTTTCAAAATAAAATGCATCAGAATTTGAATTTTGACTTCAACTTTAGTCAAGTTGACTATTGATTTCAATTTTTAAAAATCGTGTCAGGGATTGGTTGAAAATTCCGTGTTCGAATCAAGTGCTTTGAATACAGCACTTTAAAAATTGTAAACCTCCATGTGACGCGCACCTGTTTTTTATTCAGAAATTCGAAAAAAAGGTGCACCTCGTACTCGAGTAAGAACAAAAATTCAAGTTCCATGGAGAATAAAAAAAATCTGAAAATTATTTTGAAAAAAAAAACCTTATCCATCTGCATGGGTAATCTCGATTCAAAGCTGGGCGTTAATTGTAGTTCTATACACAACTGCAACCAGGAACATGTTGATCTTATCCTTAGCATCCCAGGGACTGATAATTTCCACTATGACTCCAATTGCAGGGTTTACGGCATTAAAAGTTTGCGGGTGGCGGACTGTTCAATCATGCCGACCATCGTATCAGGAAATACCAACGCCCCGACCATCATGATCGGGGAACGAGCTTCTGACCTCATCAAAGCCAAGTGGGGTTACGTAGCATGACATCAGTTGGCGGCTCAACCCGCATCAACCTCGTCTAGGGAGCATCCTCGCAATATCTGAAGCGAATGATATTAAATGGCCATATTTTCTTTTGCTGTTCAGGGATTGATAAGTTTTTGGAATAAAGGGGCTAGAGAAGATGGCAACAGAAAGATAGCGGGTTTGGTAAAATGTGATTGTACTCGCTGCTTCTTTCACATTATTTCTCGATTATTTTCGGCATAAATGAGTATGCATTCAATCTATGACGGATACATTGATTCCTTCTGATGGATGCGAAGACTGAATTTATTTTTGCGGTGGCAGGGAATCGTATCGAATTTTTCCATTCAACATTCAACAGGGGATGCCATACAGATCCATCTTTGAAAAAAAAAAATTTCTCCTGAACAAAGCGAACCTCCATTCCTTATACTGTACTGTACTGTAATTCGGAAAGTTCATCATTTCCTTATCTCAAATTAACTGCACTTACAGTATATCGTTCCAAATGCTTTTTGTGAAAGGGATGCACACAAGAAAAAATTCAGGATAGGGAGTTAACAGATTGAATCGATACATTTCTCGTCAATCGAAATGGACGACCACATTTCCCAGCAGTTATATCACAATCATAAGTTCAAAAACAGGATGCATTATTAACTGAAGAAAACTAAATTTTAAAAACTGTTCGCCTGAACAGCGCTTCTGAAAAGCACCCTTGTCATTCTCGCTCTTCCGGTCTAGGAATTTACCCACGATACGAATTCCCAACAACTGATAATTTGGGGGACTTTTGAAACGCCCAAAATTCCAGAACGTCGACAATGCTTTCAAAATTTGAACGAAGTCTTCGACTTCATTGAAAACTGCTGTTCGGAGTTGATAACTCAAATGACTCGTGAATGTGGAGTCACCTGGCACAAATCCTCTTTCCATGAAATTTTATTTTTTTTAAATCATTCGAACAAAGCATATTAGACGAAAATTCATTACACAAACCTTATCTCGGAAAAATATAAATCCATTACGAGGAAGCAAGGCCTTTCGTAAACTGCATGAAAGTGACCAAGCGTTGACATCGAACCGTCTCCCGACACATGCACAGAACTCAAAAACCATTACAGTGCTCGTCTCCATCGTTGCAGATTGCAGCAGACATGTTCTTTTTTGGCTACCACTCAAAAATTTGGTAATACGTAACAGAATAACTACATCACACAAAAAAGAACTTTGGAATAGCTGCCAGAAAAAATTATTTTTAGGCGATCATTTCCCAGGACGATCAGCCTTTTCCTCTTTCTCTAAATTGTACCTTTGAAGCTCCTTCAAGAACTGCGATCGGGGTTTCATACTCGTCGGCTTGTCCCCGCGACACCTGGGACAAAACCATTTTCCCTTGGGTTTATTCACTAGAGCGACACACTGAAAATGAAACCACTCGATCGGACACAAGTCATTGTCACACAAAATCATGTCACCGAACGAAACCTGCTCGCACAAGCAGTACGTCGGCTCGTTCGGGTCCACGTGCACCGTGTGCGTAATGTCCGGACTCTCCTCGCGAGACTCGCTTCGTCGAGAAGACTCAGATCCTCTTCCGGTTCCATTTCCGACGGAAATACCGGCTGCCAATGCCGCAGCTTCCTCAGCTTCGGCACGCAGCTGGCGTCGCAACGAAGACTTACGCCGCAACGGAGTGTGGAGTCCGCCTCGGATTGAGTTTGTCAGACTGCGACGAGTTTGCTTCAAGGCGGAAGTCGGAGCTGGAGCCGTTGTTGCGGTGAGAGATACCGGGGCACCGGGAGGCGCGGCGGACACGGACGTACTGGCGCCGTTTTCGGGCGTCTCTCCCGCATCGGAGTTGTTGGCGGTTGCTTCGACCCGCATCGACCGACGAACGCGTTTCGTCACTTGGCGCTCGATTATCAGACAAGGACTTGCTCCATTCTTCAAATCTGGAAACCAAAATCTTTCCATGAAAAACTCGCAGTGCCCTTCATAATCTTCAAGAAAAATATGCATCTCAAAAGGATAGATCATCCAAACGCATGGAAAATTGAGATTCTCTTCACTTTGAAACCTTAAAAATCCGGGCATTTTTTCGTCATTACCTTGGAGTAGTCTCAACTTTGTTAATTTCCATTTACCCGAAGATGAGTCAGGCATTTGGCATCAGTCAGGATATTTTGGTCATGTTAGCTACTACGGCGACACTATACAGTCAGAGAATACAACCGTGAATGCAAATACTGATGGACTCTCTACAACGAAATTCAAGAGATCCGAAACAAATTCGCCGTAGAGAGAATTACGTTGTGGGAAACCTCTTTAGCCTATAACATGGGGATCTAAAAAGGTCGTTATACAGAGAAAATCGTTGCAGACAAGATCGTTGTACGACGAGTCCACCCGTAGAAAGAACAGCTAACTTACATTTATTGATAATCCACCAGTTATGATATCGAAGTTCTAAGATTTAGCTCTTGAACTCCGAATGTCCCTGAATCCGTCATTTATCTGGTTATACTTTATTCAGATCGGCTCTTTCTCTTAAGATTCGTGATTCAGGCTAAATTCCACAAGGAATTTCGGCTCTATAAAGCAGAAACAAAAAATAAAACACTTCCAATATTGCTACGCAAGTACACGCATGAGGAGATCAGAAATCAACAGTTCATTATGGTAGTTGATGCTCAGCGGAATAAACGTAATAACAATACCTTTTTCAATAAAATTGAGACAAATATAGACGGAAATAGGACAGACTAAAAACTCATCTTTTAGACACTCACTCCAAGCTTTTCGGTATTCGTCCAATTCCCGCTTCCTCCTGTCCAAGGGTTCCAGAACGTGATCCTGCATTTCTCGCAGCTTTACATCTGCGGCACCCTGCATTTCTACCAACAGTCGTACCACGGAATCAAACTGAACCTTCGGATCCGTCACCGTACTCTTCATGGTTCTCTTCAACTTACGCAGAACACCTAGGAAACGGATGAATGTTCACCGGAATAAATTTTCAGTACATGCAGGACGCAAAAATATCAAGAATTGTGTCAGTTGTATCAAGTTTTTCGCGATAATAAAAAAAATTGAAAGGTTTTGCGCAAACCTGGAGTGCAACGCGAACCCCTGAAAGGCATTCGACGTGATTTATTAAAATGAGCCACCGGGTTATTCACATCAAAACGATATTCCTCATACAAGGAATTAGCACCTGTTCCACGCAAACCTCCAAATGTTTCGACTGTTCTCTAAAATAAAATTATCTTGTTCGTAGAACCACTGATTTATTTTCGTCCTGCGTTTAGTTTTAGAAGAGCATACCACTGTAAGACAATGCTCGATGGATTCAGCGCCATTTAAAAGGAAAATTTATTTTAGACTGATCACACAACAGTTGATCCTTAGATTCCTTACACAGGATTGGAAGGGCCATCACAAATTAACAAAATATGGGAGAATTCGACAGTTAATCAAAATGTCCCTAATTCCTGAATCGAATACTTCAGGATACCTTCTCAAGCTGGACGAGAAGATTTTCTTTCAGGGAATTATCTCATTCGACGGGGTTTTCAGGTCACCTCGAACAAGATAAGGTCAAACAGGGTGAAACTTAGTTCATATTCCGGGTTTTGAATGACCGACCAACAGAACCCAAATTTGTTTTATACAAAGGGAACAAATCGGTCTGATACCTAGACTTGAAAAGCTCATAACCCTCAGTATTGCCCAAAATTTCGCGCTTTGAAAGTTGGAAAAACGCCGCAGTTGGAAAGTCTCGATTTACCAATTTGTTACGATAGTATGCGCAATTCCCTTTTTTCTTCCAACAAGCTGAATATAATTCTGCATTACCACTTGCATATTTCGTAATCTCACTAGTAAACAAACAAAAAAACCCACCGAATTGTAGTATGCTCTGGTTCCTTGCCCGCGATAAAGATCGCATGATGTCCAACGAAAAGTTATCCAAGGTGTCAAAATATCTATCAAGGTAACGCGCTGCGGCTTGAGCCTCGACTTCAGCACTACTCGGCCCTCCATTTTCCGAAGTGCTCCTCGGACGGTCGTCCGGACGACGGACTTCCTTCACAACAAACGAGCTCATCACGAAAACTCTCACTCCATCTGAAATGAAAAATACAAGCGGCACGAATTATTGTTTCGAAAGCGAATGAGCAATTTCTCCCATAGAATCTTTTTTTTTTTCAACAATCGCGAGGAAAAAACTTCCGAATTCAATCTCCGTGAAATGAAGTGTAGAACACATCGTCAAAAAATTGCATTTCATAACCATACTCATAAATTCAACCTCATGTTTCTTTCTCTTTCTAGTTTGCATCAACGAGTCGTAGTCAAAGCGCAAAACCGAGCTCACCCTCTTCCACGCATAACCTGAAGAACGGATACCTACACGAGTAAAAAAAGTTGAGAAAACGAAGAAAAAAATAATCGTACTATACAAGTACACATGAACCGGTTGTTGTTTCAAACGAAGCCAAAATTTTTGGCCTTGATAGCAAGGATCAATTTAGAGCGCAGGATGTTCTTGGTTGAGTACAACGGCAGATATAAACGGGATATGCACGTGTTGGCAGTCGGTAGATGATTATCGTCGGCGGGACGTATCGTGATACTAGGCATCGGCTGAAAGCCTTCTTCGCTCGACGGCAATGCTGGACTTCCAGTCCAGAAGTACACCTGTTTTCAATTGAAGACAAGCACATTCAAAAATTAATAAATGTTCGAAAACATGGCACAAAAATCAGAAGTTTTGGTAAAACGTAAGACGTTAGCAGACCACAACAATATGGTGAAATATTCTCAACACAACAGAAACAGAAAATTGAATTTCTGCGAAGCACCCAATGCCCTGGCGCAAAACTCAATTTTTGGAGGTGAATCCTGGGAAAAATTATCTTACATGTAATCCTAAAATAAATTTACACAAGATGCGCAACCGATTTAAAAAATATATAATTACAAGAGAATGGTTTGCGAATTGCACGAGTAACATTTTCATATTTAACCGAGGTATCGCACTATTTCAATTTCGTCACCCGAAACTCGGCCAGGCCATTTCTATGACATAAGGCAATAATTAATTTCAAACTCTAGCCCAGAACGAAATCGACGCAACCAGTATTCCGAACTAAGATCGTAAGGAACGTTTTTCCGTCCTGCATCGATGTGTTCCGATCTAAGCTTCGCGGATTTACGTCAGAACACTGATTGAGATCATTTTTTTTTTACTAATTCAAACGAATGCTGAAAAAAATGTAACCAGCCTTCAAATAGTGTTCAACAGGGTTGAATAGAGAACAATACATTTAGAATTTCGAGTTTTAGGGTTTCATAACGTGAGAAAAAAAATCGGATTATAATTCAAAATTTTCACCAGATCTTGACGTTCAAGATTCGTCATTTTCTCGACGACGGCCCAAAACCAGCGACGAAACTTGGCGAGCTTCTCACCGCCTTCGCCGCTTTCGTCATGGAAAGACGTGAATGACACAAGCGATGGAACGTGTACTTCCCCGACACCGTTCAACAATAAACGTAAATCTTCGCTCGTCAAACCTTCCAATGAAGACGCAGGAAGCACATCTAGGATTCCTCTACGCATGGCCTACGAGGCAGCAAAAAAATAATAAATATAAGTGACAAACGAAAATATTAAACGCCACTTTTAAACGCCAATTTACGGATTGTGACCGAAATATACCTCGAGTGATTTGTCCTGCGCAGTCACCATGCGATGCGTGGCATACAGGCGAACATATTCACAAAGATTTTTAGGGGTCACTTCGATTGTTTCTCCACCAGGCACGAGTTCATGCTGCTTGCCGCCTTCTTCCTCTCGTACGTCGATCCTGTTTGTTGATAAGCCGAGAAAATACAAATGCATTGAAGAGTTCCGCAATAAAAGAAGTTTTGCAAACATCAACACTACTAGGGCGAATTCCCCATAACGGTACTTTCAACACAAAGACTGCGAAAGATGCTTCACAGTGGGTGTGCTTGAATTTACGTCAGCTGCTCCATGCAAGCAGTTAGAATACACAGTAACACTATTATCGATAGAATAGGGCACTTCGACCTAATGAGCGAAGAATCTAGAATAAAATATGCCATATAAAATATATATATTTATGGAATAACAGATACCCAGTTTCTTCCCGCTGTAAAATTTCCAAGCTTATACAATACCGTATTCCAATAATTACGGTACCGGGCGGTAATTCATAATCCACTCCATTTCTTTTCATATATAAAGTATTGGGAAAACGCTTGAGATCTGTTATTTTTAGGAAATCGAAATGAGAAGCGAAATGAGTAGGATCCGAACAATTCAGGATACCTATCGATCCATTAAAACCATAAAATCACTCATGGATGGAGCAGGAAAAGGAGGTGTGTTCGAAGATTGCACAATTTTATTTCGCTCCTAATGAGTTTTCAAAATCGTGGAGAGGATTTTTTTCAATTGCAATAAGATGGATGCACGACTCGCATCTTTCTCCTGATCTGATAATTTATTGTATGGAATCTTTCTGCGTACTTAGCGGTAACCTAGGACTTAGGTATCTTGGATACAATAGAAAAAATCGTTTTCCGCTAAAACCGGACGCATCGAAGCTTTAAAAATTTAGAGCCAACAACTTGCCCGAAGAAAAGCGCAGAACTGATAAGGTTTCAATGAAACTATGAAAATGTATCTCAGCGAATACTCACGAAAATACGAGATCATGGACATTTTCAGAGGGATTCTCGCTGTTGCGCATTTCGTACATCAAATTTCTAAGCGACTCATACACATCCGGATCATAGAATGCCATGTCATGGAATCTGATGGGTCTACCAAGCATGTACTTCAACACATGACGATTGAAAGACAGCGGGCAAAGCTCGTTTTGCAGCAAACACAGGCCAATCAACCTGCGAAAACATGGATCAGTTAATATCACCACGTCTTTGAGAACGATGAAATGATTCTTGATTTCAGGTGGCATGCGTTTTCATCCTTTTCAGCAGAATGAGAAGGTTAATAGCCCATTAAAAAAATTCGCCTGCACCTTCCAACGTTCCGGTAGGCATTGAATCTCTCTCGTGATGGACGCCCATATCGCGGTGAATAAAAGCCTTTCTTTCCGGGACAGAAAAACAATGTCGCAGAATCCGGGGTCTCCGCAGCCCCATCTGTCGGTGGCACGTCTCCTTCGAAGTTGCCCGACTCGTCGCGAGCATTATTGCGTGCATAAAGGTTGAACAGGTCCAAATCTGCATGACAATATGTAACATCAGTGATCTAAAGGTCCAAGTCTGATGGAACATATTACATTTCAGGAAGTTACTGTACTTAGTCTTGCAAAAAATGTGAGGGCATTTTCATTATTATTCTATTTGCTCGAAAAACTCATACACGGAAGAGTCCTCCCAGGCAGACATGAAAAATGTCTTTTGTCTTCATCTATTCATTGACGTGAAAAGTTTGGAAAAAATGAAGCTCACGATTACGCTATTTATTTTTTTGATTAAAAGACTTTTTTTTGGCAAGGAGTAGCTAGAATGTGAAGATTGAGAAAACAGTCGTTTCATGAACATTGGAATCACGATCTCAACAAAACAAAAGTACAGTATTGAAATTTGCGGCGATCAATCATCCCAGACCTGGATTTTTTTAAATCGTAGTTTAAAAAGAAAATTTATTGAATCTTTTTCATCAGTCCAACAACTTTTTGGAATACCCTTTGCACGCTGAGGCGGAAAGTGAACGGTTTCTTTCACATACGGTCACTTCGAGCACATCAATAAAAGAGCAAGATACACCGCAACACATGAATAACGGCACGGAAATAGAAAAATGCACTTGTTTTCGTTTTCCCACAAAAAAAAATAAATAAATAAATAAAAAAACTCACCGATGGCATCATTCGAACCGTCAGACTGGTCTCGAGCTCCAGGCACGATCAACTCCGCTGCTTCATCCACCCGGCTTCTCAACGACTCCTCCGATGAAAGCATGTTCAGCAACTCGGCGGGTGGCAACTCGAGGATCATGCCCGTGATTTTTGACGCTAACGCAGGTCTTAATGCCATTATCTTCGGATACAATCGCTCCCCGAAAGACTGCAAATGCCTCGTCAAAAATTCGTTCGGACGACCATCATGCAAAAACGGACGAGCATCCGCGTTCAGATGACGCCTCGCATCTCGACGCGAACGCTGAAACGAAAAATTATGAGGATGCACCATATAGTTCATTGAAGTGACTAGCTCATGGAAAAGGAATCACGAGCATGGCAGTATATCATTCATCAAGAGAATCCTACACTAAACGACCATAATGCAAAAGTTTTCTCACAACTTCCCCGCGTAATGATGCACGCTTATTAGCAGTTACACAGATGTTGCCGGAATCTAATTTAAATTTCAATATGTACCGGTTATGTTATGCTACAACAGGTTATTTTGCATCAAGTTGATTATATCCGTGTTCCCCAACCTTTTTGGACCCACGGACCGGCAAATTTTCATACAATTTTCTGCGGACCGGCATATTTCCATAACATTTTCTGCGGTCGAGCGGCGTTCCACAAAATGTTTGCAAACTGAGAGAAAAAATTCTAAGACCTCCCATAAAGTCCTCCAAACAAAAATTTTATTTCAAAATTGAGCTAAGAACCAGTGAAGCAGCTATAGTGCAATGCCTTCAAAAAATTAGAAAGCTGGGCTTCAAAATGGTTTCCCAGAAGGAAAACTGGAAATGATTTATTTCAGCAGGTTAAAATTATTTGTAAGCTTTGTTAAGGTAAAAGCCAATTTTTATTTTAATCAGATAATTTCAACTGCCATTGTCTTTCCAAACCATCAGATAACAATAACAGACTTTACTGCAACTTCTGATGCATTTACTGTACTGTACCCCAACCCGCGGACCGGCAATTCAATTGTCATACAGGAATATAAAGCTAAGTAAGTGATTCAGAGGACAGGTGAATCAAATTTTCAAGAAGCAATTTTGAAACTGACGTAAAAAAAATGTATTACCGAAACCAGAAGTACTTTTGAGCAGAGACAGTGATTTTTTCCGATGGTGTATGCACAAACTTGGGCAAGACACGTACAACGAAGTCGTGGGGAAAAGTGACGTGACATATACAGGCAATAGCAAATTCATCAGAGACCGCAGATCAACGAATAAATGCGGAAATTGACTTTCTCACCAATGGACCACGAGAATCTCTTCCGTAACGTCCAGAGATCTTGGGCAAGGAATACGGGAATCCACCGTAGTTCCTCGGGTCCACCTGACAGCTGTCCAAATTGGGCAGCGGTTCAGGAGACAATAATGCCTGAATAACGCAAAGAAAATTGAATCTTTCAATTGAAAAAAAAGGGATGCTGATGCAAAATGAATTATGAAATAAAAGGAATCGCACCTCAGCCAATGCAGAATAAAAGGATCTCGCTACTCCCGAGCCCTCGCCGGGCTCATCCCGGAATGTGACTTTGACTCTGGAAATAGTCAGTGGACATTGAGTTTGGCTCCCGTTGACTTTCTTCATGTTGATACTGAACTGCGTATTGAGTTCGCGGAAGGACTGAACAATCAAAGAACTTCTGGCACGATCAACCTGAACAGAAAATTCAAGTTAGTTCAAAAGCGCACACACTGGATGATGTATAAAGCAAACCGCAAATGTACAATACAGCACAGGTTCCAAACCTCGGTTACAATATCATAATGGAAACAAAATGAACTTAAATTTCCTTTTCGGAAACTCATGAAAAATCGAATTCAGTATCCATCAACATTTACGAATTTCATTTGACTGCCGCACACACAGAGAATCAAACAGTTTATCAGAAGACGCAATTTAAAATTCGGGGTAACATCCTGATGGCCGCTAATGGAACGAAGAGGTGAAGCATGCGTTAATGACATCTCGAAAATGCCATTATTTCGAGTGATACGTACCTTCAAAGTTAAATCCCTAGCAGCGCCACTGCGTAACTTCTCCATATCCTTCCTAAAGCGAGCTTCTCGTACTTGGAATCCACCCAATTCTGACATAAGAGACCCAGGCTCGAGACCCACGTCATCCACGAAAACACGTCCGAACAATTCCAAAGTTAGACGCCAGCGACCCAGCAAAACTCGATTGTCAGGCGAACCAGGCTGTCAAAGAACAAGGACTCATAAACTGGGAACTCACACAAAATTTAAGAATCAAATGCAAAATGGTCGAAATTTTCAGACTGCAAATTAAGATCATGTGCATTCATTGGATTGACAGATTAAAACATCTCATCATTTTGAAAAGGACAAGTTTCGAAGCTAAAATAAACTTACGCTTTGAGATTCGTCGAAATCCATCGCTGCTTGAGTGGCAAATCCCTATAAAATTCAAACCATCAAACATTAAGTGATTGAATGACATAACATTATTAAAAATAAAAAAAATGTTAGAACTATCAACCATTCGACCATTTTCAGCGAACTAATAAAAAGACCACGCGCATCGTTAAGTTATCCACATAGAAACTTAAATTATCTCAACAGAATTCAAAGAGAACCAAAGCTTACCCATCTAAAAGTTTCAGGAAAAGAAGCGGAGTTGCTACCAGCTTTGTTTTTCGAATCATCGTCTGAGTCTTCCGGTCGACTTCTTCTAGGGAAAAGTCCCAAACGGTGTGGCGCAGGATACGATTCCCCACCTTTACGAACAGGACGAAAACAGTGTCGGAATTTTCGAATAGATACTTCCCGCAAATTTGCCACATACTTTCTGCTGGAGGATGTGGAAGGATGCAGAATAGCTCTTCACGGCGAGCAGTTGGCTGAAGCAGATGAGGCTGATCAGCCAGCGGAAGAGCTTTTGCCAAAGGCGTACTCAACATATCCGGGGCGTGTCCACCAAGATAAAGCGTCGATGCCGATCTAAAATTAAAAAAAAACCCCCATTTAAAAATCTGAACGACATGCCTCGTGAAGTTAGTGGTTCGGGTGACACCCAACGAGCATAAAAGAAAACGCGGTCTGAAGTAAAAGCGTACAGGAACACCGATATCAGACATTAATGCTTACCTTCGGAAAAATATGTGTGATGACGCATCGTACTCCCTCACGCTTTCCACTGGGGTAGGAGATTTTTCGCTCGGTTCCTTTGTTTCATCACTCTGACAAAAAAGAATGAAACTAATCATTACAGCTTCAATGGTTTCGATAAGGAACATTAAGCGGCGTTCCAACGAGAACAGACCCTCAATGAATTCATCACCCTGTACTCACCAAGTTAGTGCGGAATGTTCTTGGTGGCGTTTCAGCGCCATTTCTGATCACGTCCACGCTGCTCCTCATGAAGTAAAGCAGCGCGTCAAACACGTACGCCACGTGCTTCAGCGAGGCTACGTCGATATTCGGCAAAGCGTCCAGGTGCTCGTCACTATGCGCTCTCGTCAACGACAGCATGTAATTGACAAAATCGCGTCGCGAGGACACTTGTTCAGAAGATCCGCCAAATCGGTACACCCGTCGCAATGCACGCGCAAAGAAGACTCGACGAGAGCCGACAGATGCAGCGGAACTACCGACACGAGCAGCGTCGCGGTCCGTCCGGCCGGAAGAAGACGAAGTTGAATGTCGCGAATGCGGATCAAACGCAGGGGTAGTAGATTTGCCCGATGCTTGGGCCAGGGCAGCACCGAACCTCAGTTGACCCTCGGTAGCATCCATAACCGTCAAGAGCCAGTCCCAAGTAGACTTCAATATTTTTTCCACGTAAATCTTCGAGAGGCAAAACAGAAAGGTACATGATGTCATTCATTAGAAGTAATTCACCATGGAAAAACCATGGTATTCTCATTAGAACAATGAGTTCATCTTGAGTATGTTCAACGTATTGTACTAAATTACTAGAGTGATGTACACGAATAAAAACGTAACCGTAGAAGATAGCTTTACAAAAATCCTTCGATGATTAAGCTAAAACTCACATGATACAGTATCTTGATATCAAAATCTGCGGTACAGTAATATGATTTCGTCTCGTTAAAAATAACCTCCCTTTAAAAGTAGGGAAGATCCAATCATTAGCAAGAACTGAGAGAAAATACAAATCCTATGTAAAAATCCACACAATTTACTGTAAAATAAAACTTAAAAGGAAGGAGAAGTTCATTTCAGCGGTAAATGACGTATTATTGCGTTCCTAAGTCTTCAGAGGTAACGAAGACTTTACATCATGCATCTTCATAATTCACAAAAAATTCCGAAGAAATAGCGAAAAGCAAAACTACCTTAAGGATACGGTTCCCAATTCAGTTTCTCAACAAAAATAAGATGGATTTCCAAGTCACAAGCAAGCTTATGTCCGAGATTGCAATGGACAAAACATTTGAAAAGGAAGTTCCGAGCATACCTGGGCTTCATAAGCTTCCGTCGGAGTGATTCGCAGCCCCGTTAATCCACCAGGAACCGTGCTCTCATTCAATTTCACCAGAAGCTGCGCGATTTGACGCACGATTATTCCAAACGCTCTCGCCAATCCGTTCGCGGTAGTCCCCATTGTCCATGGATCCGGATGGGCGATCGCGAGTTCATGAGCTGCGCTCGACGGAGCATTCGCCGTCTGCGGTGCCCCTGTGGCTGCATTTGTTCCACGTCGCAAGGAACCAGAGTCGATATAAATCAAACTACTTCCAGCCCCGGACCTTTCGCGTCCACGACCGATGGCCCAGTCAAGATGCGGTCCCGCAGTTGCAATCAGCGGATTCCGAGACCTGGGAAATTCGCAGAAGCACACGTCTGTGACCGTCGAATAACATAGGAGTACTGTACTCTCCAACGTAGGCCAAATGATCGAAAAAAATAAGGTTTTATCATTAAAGTACTGAAATATGGCTGCCTTGGACTTTCCTGTTGATACTTGACTCTACTTCATGATAAGACATGATGATGGACTGCATGAACATTGCGTCTTCCAAATTTCTTGTCGTTTCTTGGACGGGCATTGATGCGTCAAAACTGACAAATTTCGAAACAATTGATGCCGCTCAGAGCTAGCACTTACCGTCCTGTAAGAGAATGATCCAAAACAAGATTTCCGGCGGCAATCCCAGCGCTTTGACTACCAGCAGCAGATGACACATGAGACCCCCTCGGAGCACTTGTATCCATTGGAGACCCGGCCCGGTCACCATCTTGACGCGTTGCGGCATCATCATCCTCGTCATCATCTTCTTCCTCTTCTTCAGTCTCGTCAACGACGCTCGATTCGCCAGTGTCCTCATCGTCGTCTTCCTCGGAAAACAGCAAAGATATCGAGTCACCGGGTCGAAGAGCATCAGAGGCGCCTGGATCCTGATCAGGCGCCCGGTTCTCGTCCACATGCGACGATTCGTCGCCCCCAGTGCCGCCTGCACCCGCACCCCCAGGGTTCGAAGCAGCGGCGTTTCGATTAGGGTTCTCCCGGGCTCGTCGTCGGCTCCGACGACGTCGAGATCGTGGCGACAGGTTCTCCCCGGCTGCGATGTCAGGATAGTCGAAGTTATTATCTGAGATTCACATTCACGAAGAAATTCAAACGCTTTTTCACTTCAGATTTGTAACGAACAGGATTTTGTAAGACCAGTTCTCATTAGGAACGAACTCATTCAGTAAACACCGAAGAATTCGCAACACGCGGGACTGCAACGATGCACGGATGCACCCATTCTAAATTCTATGTATAGTAACAACTTACGAGCATACAAAAATTGAGAAAACAAAACAGAAAATTTACTTCAACGTAATACAGTATCAAGTTTCAAAAAGCTTCAGCATTTTTTAAAGTTAGTTCCTCAGCGTTAAAACGAATAATGAGAAACAGTTTTTTCTTCCTCGTTTTAAACAAAAGCGTGGAAAAATAGAGCTTCAATACACGTTTCGAGAGGTTCTGTTTCGCTGCGCATTCAAAGGCGCTTTTCACAACTTACAACGAAATAACGCGAAAATATTTTAGACTTACCTAAATCACTCAGTGCTTCAGCCAATTCGCTACTTGGTGCAGCTCGATTCGCGTTGCCGTCAGGATTTTCGATACTGTTCAAGGGGTCGTTGGATCGATTTTCCGACGCCATGGAAGATTCGAAGACGTCCGCACCAAGTAACAGAAGTTGTCTCGGGACACCACTGCTTCCTCCGCCGGCTCCATTGCTGCTCTGAAAATCGTCCTCTTCACCATCGCCTTCTTCCTCATTGTCGTCATCCTCTTCATCGTCTTCATCCACATCTTCCACAAGACGAGCGAAGGATCCCGCATTATCAGAGATTTCCTGAAAATAAGATAAGGCATTTTTCAGTCAGCTTCGACCTGAACAGTTGAATCAGTAACTGGTACACAGGAGAGTCACTGTCTTTTGAACTCGACTGCTTTCCGTGAAAAGGGTAGCACACTTGAATCATGAACACCGGGCATTATTTCTTACAAATTTTTTCTAAATTACCCAGAGAGAACCATTCATAATGATGTTACCGAAGTATCCCTCGATGGGATATTCAAAACAAATAAGCTTTAAACCAAAAGAATGTTCAGTTATCAACTTTCGCGACGGGGGACAACTGGGCATAATTCTTGTACAGGATTTACAAGAAAACCCTTCGAGACAACGTGGGAAAGACGAAAATCGAATTACTGTGAATATAATATGACAAATTAGTTGATCATTTTTTCAAGGAACAACCGTTGGTATTTTAGTTCTTACTAATGTACTGAATTAAACGAATTTGCTGCTCAATATGAAGACTAATTTTACATTCGGTTCATACTTCTCCTTTACTCGTTATACAGGTGGACTCCCTCTACCGCGATGTTCACCGTCCTATGGGGTTCTCTCACCATGATATAAGAAATCTCTGCAACGAAATTCCCTCTAAAACGATTTTTTTCATGCCCTTTGAATTTCGTTATAGAGAGTTCAACTGTAAAACAATTCATCCCGTTGAACAAAAAATTTAAAAACCTTGTCAGCGTCGTCATTATCATTATCCCTCCTTCCTGCTCGTTGCAAAACTTGGGCAAAATCTGGGTCGCCTTCCGCAAAAACTTGTTCCAAAGCCTGAATAGCAGAACTGGAATCGTGTCCCGAAGCGCTTGGCATTGAAACGTCATTTTCGCTAATGTGACGGAAGTCTCCTCCACGTCGCCCACTCAATAGGCCTTCGAAGAAACTTCCTAAACGTCGGCGACCACCGTGAGACTCCAGCCCAGATTCCTGATCATCGCTGTTGGATGGGTAAAGAGAATCTCCGCCGAAAACGTCTTCGCTTCCCTGGACAATTGAGAAGACAGAAAAATTAAACGGTGAACCCCCAATAAATTCTAGCCCGATATGAAATATCTCAGATTTGCAAAACCCTTAATCCAACACAAAGCAACGCTCAAAATTGAAACATCCAGCCTTCCAGCATTACCGAACAGTTACACGGTCTTGATAGACGAACCGTTTATGCATTCATACTTCGAGAGAACTGATCACACACACACAAGCAGTCCAGAAAAAAAGTTAGTGCTGTTCTGTTACATCCCCGGTCAGATGCCAGTGTGTTATTTTGAAATCGGACAGGTGTCACCTCATGCTCGAAAGTAGCCAACAAAACGAAGTCATTGACAAAACATGAGATATGACACCTTCGTAACACTGTAAAAAGTAGAACACTTTCCTGAGGCATCCGATAATAATGTACAACCGAAAGGAACCAAAACGCAAATTCCAGGTAAGACTAATCCGCGTTTATGTCTCAGAGCAACATCTAGCTAAATTATCAATTTGCGAAAAGAGAATCTTCGAATGGTTCACCTGAGCAGCTTCGCTGGCAGATGAGAACAACATGAACGGGGCTGTAGGCTTCACAACGCCCAGTCGAACGGGAGCAATCAAAGCGTCAGCGATTTCGCTAAGTTCTCGCAAAGATACGGTCAGCAACGACATGAAAACCTTCTTGCATCGATTGATGGGAAATACTGCCGAGGAGCCTTGACTTCTGCCACGAAAAGAAGAAAATCTCGATAAGCAGTACAATTGAAGAAAATTGCATGAAAAACTACAAGTTAGAGAGTTATCTATCATACGCTTGTGCTTGTTTCACGTACGATTTTTTTCTATTCGCTGAAGGGGCGATGCCAACGGAAACTACCGCAAACACTCGCACAACTGAGCGAACAAATCGATGAGCCAGAACTTTCGCTTCTTTGGCACGCTCAGGATCTTCATCGTTCGACATTTCTGCTATCAAGGTATCCAACAAATTATTCAGCATCACCAGGTCACCACCTCCAGTATAGTAGTAATCTTCGCACTACATCGAAAAAAGAATGAGGCGAGCTACGGGTCAAGGCCAATTCCCAGCATCTTCTGCAAGAACAGTACTGTACTATACCTCATTGAAGCATTTCGTGATCATGCAATGCGTAAACCGGTCAAGCTGCGACGACCCGTCCTGCCCATTCAAGTACATCTCTTCCTCTTCTCTGTTGAAAATCGCGAATCGTCCGGGTGCTTGCGTGTTCGCTGGTACGTACGAACCATTTTGAACCCCTAACCGTAAACAAAAGAAATGATCAAGATACTACAGTACCATGGACAGATCATATTCTCAACTCACCCATATTGATAAGCGCTCTGACGGCTTGATAATCCATCAATAACCTTTCCAAAGCCCGACGACAGAATTTTGGAGGGTCTAGGTCGTGATCAGGCATGTCAGCTGGTTGATCAGGATCTACAGTGCGAGACTTACGCGCCAAAACGACATTTGAACGCGTGTTCGTCGGACGGAATTGTCTGTGTTCTTGCAACTGTCGTCCGACGGTTTGCACGAGGAATAATAAAATGTTTTCGCCCCTAAAGGATTGAAATTTCAGAATGAATACAGTATCGCAAATGAAATTCAAATCGATTTTTAGAATATGCAAAAAATTACTAAGCTACAGAGAAATAATTACCGTAAATAATTACTCCCTATTCGTTTCAAATTTTGGTTGAAACCTACACAGAAGACCATCGATATTGGTAGGAAGAAGGTAGAGGTATGGCTTCTAACAGAATACGTAAAAATCCTGTCATCATGTCATTCAAATAACTCGTACGATACTGTAGTGGTGAACGAGCTTGTACACGAGGGACCCAGAACTAAACAGAACTTCGAATTTCAGGTTTCAGCGTATAACATTGCATTGTGACTGTCACGGACACGTACTAAGTAGAAAAACATTTTCGCGGTAAAGGGCGAGCCAAGAATTGATCTACAGCAGATCAAAAGTTTCTCACTGCAAAGCAAGTTTTACTGAAACCCTACGAACACTGCCAAAGCATCATGGGAATCTCCTTTATATAAAAAAAAAAACTAGAACAAAAAAATATATCTCACTTTGAATTGGGCATGACGATCAATTCCTGAAAACGCATCAATTTCAAGAATAGCTCATGGCGAGCCTTCTGATTTCCAGCGACAAGTGCTTGGCAACGACATTTTTCCCAGCAATCGCAATAAGCAGTCGGAGACGTCTGCTTCAGCTTGCAGTCGTGATTCTTGTGACACACCCGGGCACATTCTGTGCAGCAACAAAGTGATCCGACCAATCCACAAGTTCGACACTCATAAATATCCTGCCGAGAACACCGGAGTTTCAAAGTTCCGAAACAAAAAGGCGACAGCGCTCCAACCAACGCCGAAAGGAAAACAAAAAAACCGAACGAACCTGGTTGATATGTTCAGCGCCCGTCCAAGTGAAACTGCACGTGTCATTCGCACAAATGATCATCAGGGGAGAATCATCCCCCTGACACCTTTGCGGAAACATCATAGGACGTAGTGCCTCGAATGTAACTTCTGCCGTATCCACTTCCAGAGCAGCAGCCATGGCTTCCCACATCAGAAGGGCCAATGGGTACGCTTTCACAGAAACCGCCATCATGAACGGAGTAAATCCTTCAGCATTCCTGAAAAAAAATAAAACGTGAACGATGCAAAAAACTTACGAACGAAGAAAGCCAAAATAGCTTGAATACCAAAAAACTTACCTCGCTGACAATAATTGGTACAAATAAGGTTTGAAAGCCAAGGAATCTGCAATGATAGAAAATATCGCCAGCGTCGGGATAGCTTTCGGGTCAACCACTGTTTCCGGGGTATCTTTCTCTGCCTCTTTCTCCTTTCGATCCCTCGGCTCAACATCAACATCATCGGAACTGATTTGCTGGGGGAAGGGCCTCGATCGGATACGACCTATACATAATGAACGGATAATATGTTAATTCGTTTCAAAATGTCCCACGCTTGTTCCATCTTTGGACAGAACATTCGTACAGTTTTTTTAGTTCGGACAAAACGTCAAAACCAGAATCATCCACAATGCTGCAGATCGAATGTGATCGTACAACACAACCCAGATTGATGAAAATTGAGAAAGAAAAAAACTCGAAAGCTGCCACGAAATGCGTAGATCAACGTACGGTGATCATGTCGTCGGCGTCGTTCGATGCCTCGAGACCCACGATAAGCTTCCAACAATTCCTCAACAACCGACGAAGGATCTGAAGCGTTTGACGTTGCAGGCCAGCTCAAAAGCGAAACGACATCTTCGTCTGAAGAAAACGACGGCGCTCATTACACAAATCTGACTTGCAACAATAAAAAACAAACATGAAATAAAAATAAATAAGTTTCACCAGACGAAAAATCTACGCCGTTTCTGCTTAAGGAACGAAACCAATCTATCATTCAAGTGTAGAACAGATCATAATCTAATCTTCTAATCAACTAAAATTAATTCAGAAGATCATGTGGAATTCAAAAGAGCGGCAGTAAGAAAGCAGATGGGGAAGAACCCAGACGCCAGATGTCGCTGTGCGCCTCCCCCACTCCGGCAGTTCCACCTCCACACTGCCGACGCCCCAGGCTTCGCGTGGGGCCACCGCACTTACATCGAACAGTGGAACCAGAGGCCGAAGCTGACGACGAACCTTGGACAAAGTCGGAGTCCTGGTTTACGGCCGGCTTGTTGATCAGTACACACGCATGGAAAATGTTCCGATCCCCGTCACACTTCTCTTCAACAACTGACTTCATCACTCCGTCAAGTAGCATGTGCCCCGCTAAAAGCATCAACAAATTATGATATCCGCTGATGAAATTATAGCTCAAATGCAAATACTGTACAATAAAACCTCATAACAAACTTTTACGGACTTCAAAAAAAGTTTGGTACATTGAAAAATGTTGAACGAGATTTTCAATATTGATAACGGGAAAAAATGTTCAATTCAGACCCGCCTATGATCAATTTGATCTTGCTTTTCAGGCATGCTCAAATTTTCAAAATTGCTTAAAAATCCTTGATCTTTCGATAAATAAATTAGCTTCGATCATGCATTCCATCAGTTGCACCAATCTCTTCATTCTCTCCATTCTGGGAGGATGATGTGGAACCACTTAGAACCATCTTTGTTGGTCATTGATTGGAGCTTCCATCCATGCTACTACAGTACAAGAACCACAGTCACAATCGGAAGTTTCCGACTGTGCCTGCCTTCAATTTCTACCTGGAGAATCTATTTAGCATAATTCAAAATCGTTCTTCAAATTGGAAATTGAAAGTTTGTCATAACGAGATTGTTCCAACAAGTTATCTATGGGCTTTCTTCTGGAACTTGAGAAAAAGTTTGTCAGACTGAAAAATTAGTTGTAACCGTATTTGTATACGAGATTTTACCGATCTTAAACCAACACTCACGTTCCATGTCCTCCAAACTTTCAACGAACTCCTTTACCGCACCAATATCTGATCGCAAGATCAACGGCATCAATTGTTGGGGCTGGAATGACATAGCCACAACAGCAAGTGCACTTTTCTTCACGTTCGGCGTCGCAGACGCTGGAAAAGAATCACCTATCCGGAGTATACCACTAGGAATCTCATGTGAACTCCACTTACAAGCAGCGAGAGGGCAAATCCCCATCCCAATACAAGACAAGGGCCGCAAATCCAGCCACCAGGGATCCTTTATTCCTTGAAGGCAGTCCCGCGCAAGAGGATAGATCGTACGGTTACCATCCAGGAGTACCGAAACGCTGTCATTCTAAGAATACATTGAACGAATAACAGCGAACACATTAGATCGATAAAAAAAAACCAGAAAATCAACTTGGCATAAAAATGAAGACGAGCAGACAAACCTCATCCGCAGTAATGTCACCGCACGCTTTCAATTCCAGAGTTCCTCCAGCCAACAGAAACGACGAAACTTCCACGGGAAAAACGCTTTGACGGATCACTTTACCACTGGCCAAGTTGAATATAGCATAACCCAACTGATTGCTGTTCGCTTTGACAATCGCATGCAAACCTTGAAGGAAGAGGCAAAAATGAATTCGATTCGTTCTTTTTTCAACTGTTCAAGCTATATATCATTTCGAAATTAACAATATTAGTCACTCCAGTTCCACATTCGATTTTTCACAGACAATGCAATACATCTTTATAACAGTAAAGCCTACTGTGTGATGGAAATGATTTAAAATTTCTTTCCTTTGCAGAAAAAAAACAAATGAGGAATTGAATAACTTGGCCCAAACTCACCGTTTTTATCCACCCTGCAAGAGAGCAACTTGCTCGGATCACTAACAGAAATCTTCTTCGGGTGCTTTTGAAAATATTCTGCTTGTTTCAATCCTCCCGGCTTGATAACCTAAAAATAAGAAGGCACATTGGAGAACATGCGATCACGTCTTTGATGATAATACGAACTATCAAATCATCCGCACGAAGAACACGAGATTCATTCCAATGCTGCAATCTCATGACTGCATCCTTATCTTGTTCAATCCCTTCCTTTTCTTCCTTCTCGGGTTCTTTGTCTTTGGCTTTAGATTTCTCCTTCGTTTTAGTGCGGGATCCCAAAGTGATAGTTTCTTCCTTCCCATGGAAACGGCAGATGGCATACGGACCGTCGACTCGAAGAACTTCCGCTGTAGGTTATTAAACGATGCAAGTGAACGATTGGAGTCAAACAGCTTCAAATTTGAATCATACTGTATACATTTTTGGATATCACGCTGACATAATAAATTACAAGACGGTTCACATTTGAAAGTCGCATGAAGGTAATTCGTGAAAAAAATCACGTATTTTACTTTTCCGCGCAATCATGTGAAAGTCGAAACTCACCAGTAGTCACGGTGCGAATGTCTTCCAGAAATACCACATCCTTCACATTCCACTGAACTTCTTGAGAGTCTGAAGAATTGCTGGAAGTTTCATCAAGCTTCCTCTCTGCGAAGAAATGTAACAAAAAGTAGAACACAATTCGAAATTTGTAGCATCATTGACAAGTCTGAACTCCGCGGCATTTCGGAATGGACGCTCTCACGGAGACATCCTCAAGCAGAATTTCACAAAATGTATTGAAAAATTCGACGATAAAAACAATTTTTGCAGTTAACACAGTTCAGTTATACGCATGAATTTCAGAACGTACTTCCAATCGCCACCGAGCCCCGACTAGTTGACTCTGATGAACTGCTCTTCTTTGGAAGCGTTGGATCCATCAGAGCAAACGTTTTCGCTTCCGTGAAGGACCATGCTGCGGTCAGAAGACGGCCAACTTTCGGTTCACCATTAGCCAAATTGAATCCTAAGAGGAGAAAAAAGCTTAATTCGGTGTACATGAGCAGGACAAATCATTATCGAGTACAAAAATATGGTCAACTCCTTTGCTTACCAACAGCTTGAGGCTGGTACACGGGACAACTTTTCAGCGTCACTATGGATCCTTGAACGAGTGACTCTGAACCAGCATCAACGTGCTGCTTCCGTAGTCGAGCTCTGGACTCATCCCATTGCTTTTTCCTCTGCTCATAAGGCCAGACTCCCCTATAAAACATTTGTAACATCATAATTTCATCATTATCCGCCAATATTCAAGGTAGTGAATTACTTCGTAGTTTTTCTATACACTCGAAAATATGACAGCATTCACTGTTGAGAAAGGTCGGCACTTCACTTACCACCAATAGAAAACACCGGATTTCAGTCGAACGCAGGTGTACAGCGGACACGTGTGAATCTCTGTGACGGACTCCTTTTGGAATTCGGGATACACCTGCGCAACGTGCTCCAGTTTTCCCCCGTAACTTGCAATGCTTTCATCCAGCCATGTGGCAATCTTGGATGTTTCAGTTACGACGGAGCACCGAACGAGCGAGGCTGAGATCATTGTAACTTTTTCACCGACCAAATTCAGTGAACGAGCCTTGGGATGTCGAACTTTTCTATCCTGTAATAATGATTCAAAATGTGCAGATCAAAATCGGAAAAAACGTCAAATGTTACGCGAATTCCGATCAAATACGCTGCCTGGAGCACAAAAGAGTTAGGTATGGTAATACACTTGCACAGTATGCACTTACTTCACTGCAACGGTAAGGTTTCGAAGACGCCCATCGCCATTGACAAATTTTGCCTTTATCCGTTACAGCAATTAGTTCCGAATATAAGGCAGCAATTTTCACAAACTTTTCTCCTTTCTCAATATCCTCTTCTGGCCAATACTCCAAGAGCCCAACTTGGAGACACGCTTGCGTGTTCAAGATTTCTTTCTTCTTCACTCGTACTAAAATAGGTGAAAGAAAACGAATGACTCAAAAAAGCCAAGGAAATATAGTACAGTATATTTCGCTGAAAATGTTACACAAAATGAAGATTTCGCGCGTAATCATCGACATGAAAGAAAGCATACTCAAGACGGAAAACTTACCAATGTCCTTGTCCGGATTCAACGATTCTCTCAGTGCCGATTCCAACCATCGGGCCTTGGTCAAATCGCGCCCACTCTGTGTACTGGTGCCCTGACTTCCATAAGCTCGCTCCCTCCAACCACGGAACATCGTGTCACGGTTTTCTCGATCCGATGTGGAGCTCGATGCCGCTCCTCCAGCAGCTCCACTACCGCCCGCACCAGCAGCAACCTCTTCCCCACAGTTCGCATCTCGTTCAGCAGGAGCGGTGCTTCTGTAGTCTCTATCACGAGCTGCACTGCGTCCGAATGACCGCCGAGGGGAATAACCGAGGACATCTTCAGAAAACAAGCCCTCAGCGTTGATTATGACAGAGGGATGCTCAGAAGCGGACAAACCGGCGTCTAGGAGTGAAATCAAGTCGTCTGGCACATAGCTGTCTACCTCGTTGTCTCCGTCATTTTCTTCGTCATCACGCGATAGTAGATTGTTCACGGCCAAGTTCACATCCAGGTTCGTCCGCTAAGAAATAAAGCTTTCCCGATTACAGTACTGAATGATTCATTCTTGAGAACATATCTCCTCACACAATGCAGGCGGATCAGGTAACTCTCTGTAAGCTCGGTTTAGTTTGCTCGACTTTTGGTAGGGTTGTAGAAATAACGCGGCAACGACCATAATAATTATAAACAGAACGCACATTAAACGATTCGCGAAACAAATTGCAATTTTTCGGAAAGAGGATGAGCGAAATTCTTCAAATATATTTGAATCATAACGCGAACTTTGCGCCAGTCATTCGAAAAAAAAAAATCCACGGACGCCGTCAACCATCTCAGACCGCGCGACGTTGACTGGGAATCTTATTACGAGCAAATCGTTTAAAGAATCATTTTGGGCGAAGAGAGTACCATCAATTGCATTACCTGCAACTCCCGAACGATGACGTTCCTGGATTTTCCCTGGAGCACCGTTTGAGCTTGAGACACAAGCTCTTCAGGCACGAACAGCGCAGGCACGATTGGTCCCCGGCTGAAATAACGTTGTAATTGCGAGCGAAACGTCCCTTTCGTGACCGAAGATCGCTCCACAATGCCTAACCTCAAACCAGATCGTCCAGCAACTCGTCCAGCAGCGCTTGAGCTGCTTAGGGTGCCCAAGGCTCCTGCTGCGGCTGTATGCCTTCCGGTTCCTATTCTAGCCGTGCTCCTACTCCGTGAGGGGCCGCTGCCAGCGCGCGGAGCCGCGGCGGTGAGCGAGGTGGAGGTTATAGTTCCTTTTGGCGTATCACTACATTTCAGTAGAACAAGGTATGAATTTAAAAAATGACCGTGAAACCCTCGCTAGAATAAACGCTTGCAACGAATTAAAACATTATACTGTACACACTATCGTGTAACAAAAATGTTCGTAAATTTGGCAGCATTCTTCGAATAAAAAAAATCTTCCACGGATATACCTCTTCAGCGAGTCGCTCTTGATCAGTTCCACTTTATCCACGTTCACTGAATACCTCATCCTTGCAATAGTTCCATCTTTCAGCAATAAAGCAATGTGACCGGGACCAACGACGATGTCTTCGATCTCTTCGCATTCCAGTGTGAGGTTTAAACCAGTGATACCCGATGAATTCCTCGATCCCGGCAGATCTGAAGACTCTCGCAGCCTGCAGAGGGAATCGTGAAGCTTACTGCGTTGATTACATGAAAAACGCACTTTTCTCTACAAAAACTGTACCGTTCAAGGAACTGCTCTTCTTCGGATGGAATCGGATGCAGAACAATGTTCAACTTCGGAAACTGCCCTTCAGACTTCATCTCGGAATAATTAGCGTCCATTTTCTTCAGTCTATGCCGAACTGATGACCAACAGCACGATGACTTTCATAGGAAACTCGTCATACAACGAATTTCATTATTTTTCAGACAGAAGATTTGGCCTAAGACGCAGGAGATGTAATAGGGATTAACCCAATCAAAATAAGCGCGTGAGTGTAACTAAGAATCACTCGCTGCTTCCGAGAATCAGGAACTTGCACTCGAAAGCTGCAGCAAAATGAAGCACAAATCACTCAATTTGATAGTGGATTGAAAATCCCTTCCGTTACTCGTTATTACCAGTCTTCAAAGCACGTTTCCACAGAAAAACTATACGATCATCGGTCATCAGTGGGCGTCGACTCGATTACGCAAGCTGAGCTACGGATGACGTGGAACTCACGAATGCTTAGGTTCGCAATAATGAATGATACGTTCGCAATACAGTAGTCACTTTTTTAAATAGGCCTCACACAGACGCAATTTATTCCCAGATTGACTCTCTCCATGGCTCAACTCTCGACTCATTCAAGTCCATCCTGCATCCATCTTCAGCACAGGTGCGCTCTAGCATCGACTCGTCCTCCGCAGGGAATATATTCTTACACAGAGCTTTGCCCTTTCAAAAGAGCCTTAAAAAGTTGACCACCAAATTCCCATAGACACTGTTTTTGATTGCTCGCTTGCTATACAGTATGCAGGGCTTTTCAACTGGTGGTATAACCCTGTCCACCGGTGGTGGTACTAGCGTACTACGCAAGTGCTTGCCAGGTGTTACGCGCATACACTCAGCAACAATAACTTCGCAAAGGCAACAACTCATCATTTTCAATATTTTGTTTTCATTTTTATAAAATTTCAGCCCAGGAAAATGTGTAATTTTTTGGACTAGATTATTTTTTGTTCAACATTGATCATGTATTACTTTTGGATTCATTTCTTACATTTACAAGATGGTGCTTGTCTTCTGCTCACTCAATGGATGAACATCAGTTGAACAGTGTGCAATATTTTTGGAAAAATTCCTTTGAATAATTCCTTGTCAGAGGGCTGACAAGTATCCTCAGCATACCAGTATATGATGATATTTCAGAAAATAATTCAAAAATTCATGGCTCAATGAAAACTTATAGTAATTCAAATGTTCAGTTTCTCTACCTTGCCCCTCAAAAGAGGGTATGCAACTGCCTGCCCTTTCTTTTGAATCCAAGAATTTTTCCAAAAAAGTTTTATATTTTTCAGAATGAAAAACCCATATCACCTGTTGAGCAGAAGTCAATGTACACTAACGTGGCTATCCACGCTATTGGCAGTCTGCCAGGCTGTGCCACCTCATATCAAGGAGAGTATGTAATGACTCCTATTCGAGTTGCAAATTTTCCGCGTTTGCATCTGGTTTTCCAAAGCAAAGAATCCAATAAGCTCAAAGAAGTGTAAATAAACCAAATCAAACCTGGAACGCCATAAGTCGTGAATTGGGATTCACATTAGCAACCATCATAGGCGGATCTCTCAAGATTTGCCCATTTCAAGGAGCTCCTGTATGTGTTTAGTTCTGCACTGTAAACTCAAACCCTCAAGTCACTAGTGTGTGTAAAAGAGAGAGGGATGAGAATAGGGAGTGAGGGGATGGGGGGAGCAGTAGCTCCGAGTTTTGCTGGTGTGAATATCTGCTCCAGCCAGAAACTACACCACCGTTGGTATGCGGCGAAATCCCCGGCCAGTGGATGATAGCGCAGTACGGGTGCCCCTTCTCACTGTACAAGCAAAATGTCAGAAACATCCATTAAATGCTCAAGATGGTCTTTGATAATTGTTCAAATCAAATCGCAAAATTTACGAGATGCCGTTTGCACTCAACAAATAATTATTCCCAGAAAATTTGGGCCATTAACTATAGCAAGGTTATCGAGAAGGAGCTCAAAGCAAAGAACGATTGAACGCTCTCAACATCAACATTTTTACACTTTCCATCACACACGAAAAAAAAAGTTGCACGTCATTACAGCAAGAAATAATGGTGCAATTTCCTACTTAATTTCCTGCTTATACCGAGGATGCCAATAAACGAGACCTATAATTACCGAGACAATTGCATCAAACGAATATATTCTTTTCTCGAGCAAAAAACCATTTCTCTCACCGCCCACGATCGACACTTTCCCGTCCGGAAAAAAAAAAAGACTGGAGAAACTATCGACTATATAACTTTTTTCCTTCTTCAAATCGCAAGTTTTTTTACTCCTGCGTTTCGAAAACAAAACAAAATATTCATCGTAGATCATGGGACAACATTCTTCACACACAAAAAAAAAGCATGCCAATTCGACTTCCTCGGTTCGGTCGTTCATATCGCATTTCTTCTTTTTTTCTTGCGGAAAAATGAACATCACGAGTTATTGAACTCCAAAAGCAAATCCTCATAAAACTGCTGAAAACCGATTTTTTCATAAACGCAATCATGATGCATAAAACGAAAAGCTCCTCATTGCACGCACCTGTTCGATTATATTTTTCCACAAAATGTTTCCCTCTTCGTTTCCTGCCAACGCGTTTTCTTCGTTTTCAAAATCTTGGCAAACACTCTCGAGGAATCGAATTTGTTCATGATCCAGTCTCTTTTTTGAAACACAAAAAAAAAAGCTTTGATGCCACAGAACACAAACGATTTCGGAGATGCAGAACAAAAAAACACATCAACAGCGTCTCAAACATAACACTCGGAAAAGCTCAATCGCGCATCCGCAGGCACTTGCAACAAGAAAACGCTAAATTTTAAGAATGACGGGAAAAAATTACGAAGTTCGAACAAAATTCACGCGTCGAATAGCGAAAAATTTTACAGCTGATCCCGTTGCGAAAGCAGCGCGTTCAAAACAACGAATGGCAAACTAGCAGGTGTCCCCAAAAATTTAAGAACAATGAAACCACAGAATAGCACGAGAAAAAGCAACTATTGCACGATATCAAACTATTCAAAAGAGCGAAACATTAAAGAATTTTTCGATAGGATAAAAAGAAAAAGACGAAAAAACGCGTCCTTACAAAGCAATGAGGACGTGAAAAACGACAAAAGGGCAGAACAACATGAAAACCTATCAAACAATAAAAATATCAATCAAGGTCACGAACATATTTTCAAATAGAGCTTTTCAAAAGGCCAGTCTAACCTCAACAGAGTAAAATGATCTTGCACTAAAAACCCGTCTCGCACAAGAGCTGTTTCACCAATACGCTCTTCCGAAACGCACTCAACCACGGATCAAGAAGTCTTCAAGGTCAAAAAATGGGACAGGATTCGACATCATCAGAAAATTGCACTCTTTCAGAATCTAAAAAAAAACCATTCCTCGGACATGGAGGGAAATAACGGCACACGCACGCAGTGACAGTACCAAGATTCTTTTCCTTATCAATATTATTGCACGTCGTTGCCAAAGTGAACAACCCGGAAACGTGGACAAAAAACTTCCTCAAAAGATTGAAAAAAAAATATGACACGCAAAATTTTGAAGAATTAGCCGGGAAAGACCGCTAAGAAGAGATCGCGAAATTTGTTTCTCTCACTCATTTCTCTCGATCTAAATTGTCTTCCGTTTCCAGCCACCGCAAATCGACGAGACTTCTCTTTTGGAATCCGACAAAGAATTGGTTCCCCGGATTCTGACGAGGATCCGTTTCCTTCCGAGTGTTTCGACACATTCTAGCACTTGCCAAATTACGGAGTCAAATTTGATCACACACCTCACGCATTTGATTTTCTTTCATGTTCAGAGAAATCAATGAGAAGACGATCGAAATTTTAAAAAGATTTCATGAATAAAAGACGATCAAACAGATCCTAGCACGAGGATAACGTTACAACACGTTTCAATGTCTCTTTCGCACCAATATTGCTTTAAATTTTGAGATTCTGGAAGCCCAGTCAGAAAAGCGAAATTGCAGAATTCTACCGTCCGTGTTTTCATTCGTTTCCAAATGTTATTATCTAATAAAAAGCCGAGAGAGGGAAAACACTCAGAATCCCTTTCCCTCCTTTTTAATTTTCCAAGTGCCGTGTTATACAAATTTAGTTTGGAAATTTAAAAGAAAAATAATTCAAACGTAAATTAATGGAAATCGAACGATGAATAGAACTTCGAACTCAATCATGGACACCGGAAATTTGTTCATCTACGAAATTTGGTCGAAGTTCCCAAATACATTCATATTTTCGTACATTCAACGCTAAGCTTTTCAATCACATCGTAACGTTTCTACTCGGAGAGGCACACGGACGTATACCTTCTAAATTTCTCAAATGATTTTTAAAAATGCCTCTACGAAAAACTGCAGACGTACAAAAATGAAACTCTAACGAATGAAAAACAATCGACCTCGCACACTTTCAAGCTACTGAAAAAAAACAATAACCTTAACCATTATTTCTACTTTTGAAATCAGATATCGAGGAAAACATCAATTTGAAGACGAACGAAATCAAAAAGCAACTAATTTTTCTGAATGCAAATAGACAACTGAGCTTGAACACAATTCGGGAGCAATATCACTACTATTCTGTTCCCCCAAGAATAAAAAAAAGATTTCGTGGGAAATGTTTCTCTAAAGCAATCATGACGGGTATTTCCAGGTGCTTTAGCGGAATTAACTCGAAAATTCTGGTTCTATTTTCAAATCTGAATACAGTAATACAGGACATGGTCCAAATTTCAACCTAAAATTACAACAACAAATTAATGCTGAGGAGCTACCATTCGACCGAGAGCTTGATTTTCATCCCCTTCAGATCTGAGGCCTACTATCTCAAAGAAAAATTTTAATAACCATATATTCATAAAAACATTCAATATTATTTTGGATTAAAAACAAAATAAGATTAGACGGAAATGCTTTCGAATTCTAAAAAGATAAATTTTACAAACGAATCCTCATTTTCGGGAAACGCGGCTTTTTGTTCGGAAGTTGTAAGTTCGAAAGATAATGCAGGAAAATTGCGAAGGTGCATGGAAGGAACACGTTGAAGAGGGGGAAAAAGTGACCTTCCGGGAATATTTCGCACAATGCTCCACAAAAATGACTGAACGCCAAAACAAGAAAAGAAATAAAAAATGAACATGACCGGACCCGAATTCATCAGCAAGGACAATCTCCTTCGCCACCAGCGCGATCCACGACAGCGCTCTCAGGCACGCCGCCGTTGCCCACAGACACGGAAGTCGTCATTGGATTCGAAACGACAGTTCCGGTACCCGTTCCGGGTTCTTCCTCACAGTCACCAACGGATGTCGTCGTCGCGTCGCGGCCGGGCATCGACGGTGACGGCGGTTGCGTGTCGATCGTCAAGTCCATTGAAGTTCGACGCTGCGCTGAAGGTGTTGACAAGGCGGATGAAACGCTCGGCTGACGCGACCTTTGCAGATTCGTGCTATTCTCCGCGTCTTTCCAAATCTGGATAAAAGCATACAAAATGAAATTGAGAACTTATAAATGGACAGAAAGCACCGCCAATTCGGGCGTCAAGCTGTAATACTTTTCTACCATAACGTCACACTCTCCTAATTCAACGTTCTACCTTGCCGACTGTAATTTTATTCGCCATTCACTAGATTTCGCAAACATTTATGAAACAGTTGAGTAAAATAAAAGGCACACTTCTTTCACAAAAGCGTTTTAAAATAAAGGTATCCATTTTGCTTTCTTGAATCGGTGCCATTCAATATTCTCTCACATTCGGAGATTGAGTGCATGGTGATCTCTAAGAAAAGCATCCTTCCAAATTGAAGTGTCAGTCAAAGGTTAGGAAAATTGTACATTAACACCATGCAACCCCCCAAACAAGTTTATTCAATGCAAAAAAATTGCGAAATTTCCACCAGATACGAGAAACTCATTACACTATACTGTACATTCGAAAATTGTCAATTTCCAAAAGCTCTCAATAAAATTATGATACGCGTGTGAAACTATGGCTGCCATTGGAAAGTTCACTCTTTGAAATTAGCTTGCAGTTACTGTTACGCATTCAAATCAACATTCAAAACCTAAGCTGATTACAGCGCCATCTCTTCAAAATAAACCCGTTTCTCGAACCTTGTCAACCTCCGAATCCAGTTGATTGTCGTCTCTTGAACTGCACTCCTGTTTCGTGGAATGAAACAAGGCCGTCGCTCTTCTCGCAGCGACATACTGAGAACTTCTGATTTTGATGAAGCTCAGATCCGTTACAGCTCTCACACTGTAGTCCGGCACAAACGTGCTCTACACGGGTTCAAAAATAAACGTGGGAAGCGTCATCGCCTGGGTCAGGCATCTCGGGTTCGATAATTGCTGGCATGGGCTCTTCATCGCCATACTTTTTCCAACCAATAACCAACAGCACACCGAGAACACGAACAGACAAAGAAGAAAACAAGACCAATTCAATCAGCCAATACACCAAACACGCACACACTTCGATGCTTCAACGCATCAGAAAGCCTCTTGGTACTACATGAAAATAAAAAGAGCAAATCACCCTAAATGCTTAAAGCAGAGGAAGTTCATCTTGCTGATCAAGAAGTTTTTCTATTTATAGCGGAATAACGAGAAATGGCAATGATAAAAAAAAACCCTCTCCTCAAACACCAGGGATCGAACTACGCAGTATGCAAATATTTTGCATTCAATAAGTTCCTGCAGAGCAACAATTTTTCATTCGCTCGCTCGGAGAAATTTAAATTTCTCCGAAAATGTTGCCTTTTCTCCCACTCCAATTAAAGTAATATTCAATTAAAATGGAAAAATATCTCAAAGCTAAGAAATTATTAGTGTATATCCTCCGCATCCAATAAAAATCGCGCATTATCTTGGCCAGAAATGTGAAAAAAATACGGTAATTCTAAAAAATGTTTAGCTCAACCATCTACACACATCTACAGTATTTCGAACAAAAATATTCAGCACACGACAGTATGAATGATGTGCTCTCAAACGCAAAGCTTCCGTTTACATCTTGGTGCGATAAAAAATCCTCGAATTGTGAAAAATTAAATACTGTACTCAATATTTTTTGCGTCACTTGGAGCAAAATACTGTATACACAGATACTGTACTCAATATCGCGCAGAATTGAAACAACCCTTGCGTAATTACGGATAGGCTTTCGCCCTCTACAAAATTTTTGTCTACGCCGATTTTCTAATATATAACAAATTTTTGTCTGGTCCCATACGGGTTCTCTAAACAAAATTCTCCGTGCAGCGAAGTTTTTTTTGGTCCCTTGAATTTCGTCGTAAATTAAGTCCTGCAATAGTATTTATAAGTCAGATCGCGGAATAAATTAAAACCATAGCCGAAATAAACGCAGAAAAAAACTCGGGATTTCCGGTATTCTCTTTTCTCACCTTCCTTCTAATATCTAATTCACTACATTTTGCGAATATTCCAAATAGATACCACGACCGAAAATGTCTCGAAGATACAGTAATTCCAAACACAAACACACACACTACGAAAATGCATCCATGCAAAAACACCTTCTACGACTACAAAAACATCTACAATGCCGGAAAAGAGTTGTGACCGACCCAACGCACAATAGATGAGACCTCATAATCATCCTCTCCCAGAGGGACCACGAACAGTGAACTTGGGTTGCTCAAACCCTAACCCACGAACCACAGACAACGAGAACGCGGGGTTTTCATCTGGGCATCAACGCTAGGAAAAAAAAAGCGAAGAAACTCATCAGAGGAAAAACCGCAGAACACTAAGAGATTTTCATAAAAATTGAACGATTTCCTCGGGAGACACCCAGATGAATCCCCCTCTGTCTTATTTTCAGAGTGGAAAATGATGTATTCTCGGAAACCAGGGAAAAACCTAATTCTTCCTCACGGGATTGTCAGGTGGTGGTGGTTTTCCGATAAACGAGGGACAAGAGTTCCAATGGGGACACGCGCCTGAGCACACGGCCAAAATGTTGTTGTTGTTGTTGATCTTTTGTTTGTTCTTCTTGAGCGTAGGGCGTGAGTGGCACGAAGGCGGTACCAACAACGCCGTTTCCTCAAAGGTGTCGTCGCCGGGAGGGTCTCGGGACGGATTCTGCATTCGCATATTTCAAAGTTCAATGATCATAACGAAATGAAACCAACGATGATCTCTTCGAAATCAGAATTTTCGCAAAGGGGTGCCAGAACAATTGAAACAACACAAAAAAAATAATAATCGGCGTGTTTTTAATTATCATCGGCACAGAACGCTACTAAAAATCTCACCAAACTTTCGGGGTTTCAAAAACTTTCAATCGTTACTCCTATCGGTTCTTTATCCACGAAGTACAGAAGACTAATTTGACTGAACCAAATCTAATGAAGTGGGGCTCCGAGATGTGGACGTAATCAGGGCTTGGATCTTGTCCCTATTTCGGAGCGTCTGTATGCCGAATCACGCTTTCTCATAGACTTCACTTGGAACATATTCAATTGATTCTCCTGTTTGCCAAAATTTAGGAAGTCCCCAAAAACTGGAATAAAATTTTTTTCTCAACTCCATCATATAAAAAAGAATTGTGTAGAAGAAAACTACACAGAATATGATCGTTTGGTATCAGAAGGAGCTTACGAAGCAAAGAACAAATCCAGCGATATTTTTCATAAATGATGGAAAAAAACTGAAAAAAGAAGCATAAACTAGCCAGTTCTTCATAACGAATTAGGATAATTCTTTAACGAAATTTATTTTAAAATTTCTGTCAATATAAATCGATTAATTTCTTCAAGAAACATTATAATGCAGAAATTTTGTCAAAAGTTTTTTTCTAGAAATTTTGCGAAAGCTTCCATATCTCGAGACATTGTCGAGATTTCGGGCCTTTCTTTCTTTTCACTATCAAGTGTCTCTGAATTAAAGCGCCCGTATGTTGGGGTCCCACTACACTGAGAAACTGTTCTCGAAAAATATATTTTCTACTCCTATACTGTGTTTGGGACGACCCCTGAAAACACGCGCATTCACGAAAATTCCAAGAATTTAATGACAGCCAAGAGCCACGACGCACTTCGTTCTTATTCAATACAATTAAAAAAAAAAGGTGAACGAGCAACTGCTGATCACTGTGGAAAGTGAGTAAATGACAAACTACAGTCGACATGATATTCAATCGACAGCAGTTTAAAATTAACAGGGGGAATGAAACACGGGAAAGTGCAACACATCGACTATCTTTGCCCTAACACCAATAGAAGTGATTCGACTCAGCTCCGGTGATTGCTTCAATTTATCTAAACTTATTCACCGATGCCTCTTCCACTGAAGATGACGACTCGCTTCGCCACCAGTTCGCAAAAATTGCTCGCTTCAGAATCTGAAAATGGTATTTCATTTCACGCATAATTTCCCCTTCATTTGATTCTCCTGGATCAACTTAAGCGTTTGCTACTTTCTTCAGACCGCAACAAATTCAACTGAACACTGCTGATTATTGAGCCCTTCCACTTTCCCTTGATAATTTTGAACAAAATTTTTATGATTTTATGTTCGACGCACACGTAAAATTGTCACTGGATTGAATGATATGATTATAACTAACTAAAAACAAGAAAGATATACGCAAGAATCGTTGGATGCTTCAAGTATGGCAAAATAACACCATGCTCTTCTAAAAGCGCAATACGGACCTTGTGTGTAGTGTTTCTCCGGTTTCAACTGCCAAAAAATCTCTCCTCGAAGAAAAGGCACGGTCCTGAGTAGAAGAGAACCGAAACCCTCTTTACTTGGCTTAAGTTGACGACACTTGGACTTGCTCTCAAAACTTATCGAGGTCCGCTGAAAATGCTAAATCTTGGTTGATCAGCAGGGCCGGGATCATCTGAAAAAAATTTTTTAATCGAATAAAGATCGACTGAACCGGATAAAATTACCCGCAGAAAATTTCGTTGAATTCAAGAAACAGCGGAACGAAAATAAAATTTAAGTCGGTGAAGTTGAACGAGAAAGCATCATCAGAATTATGAGCCAGTTGTGAAGTACCCTTCGTAGTAAACATTTTGGTTCGAACACGAAGTTCAGTATTTAAAAACGTACTTTCAATTCAAAAAGAAAAATATTTGAAGGAAGAAATTAACCTTTGTCGAGAAATCCCAAAGCTCGCATTCCGAAACAAGTGAAAGGTCCAGCTTCAAAAGTCAGGTTTTCTGATCCAACGATCACTTCCGCTCTGCCTTCGAGAATAAGGACGAAATAGTCTTCCGGCTTTCCCTAAATTCAGTGGACACATTCGCACAAATAAATGCCACATCCTCCACACTTCGATTTACAATAACATTTTCCTGGAGAAACATGCGATTCGATGATCGTTCGTGATCGCGTTATTTTCGTAACTGCGATTTTCTTCGCAATGACGCAATTACTTTCGCGGGTTCCTAAAATATTCAGAACTAGACGACAAACTGTTGAAAAAGTCTCAAGTAAGATTCCCAAGAAAATAATCTTGAACGAAGAGAATGAATTTTTTTGGGTAAATAAAAACAATTACGATAAATCCTATGTTCTCGACCGTGAATTTCACAGCTGCATTGCTATCGTAAACCGAATGGCATTGCTTGCGTTTTTTATTTGTTTCCTGATCATTTAAGAACAACAAAAAATGAAAAAACAGATTTGAAAAGATTTGAAACACGGTCAATTTCCATTTTGCCCTTTGGAAAGTTGAAGGTTTGATGAACAACGTCCGAAAACAATCGCAAAAAACCGTAATCACCCGTTGATAAATCATGTAGCTCGATTCGCCATTGCCTTCCCAAACTTTCGGCGCTTTGATGAGAAAAAATATGTCTTGCTGCAGCAGCTTTCGTAGGATCTGCTCCGAGATTCGAAACGGTTTGAAAGCTTCCACGGCTGTTAGCACGAATACGTCGATCACATCAATATTCGAAATAATATCCTCAAAATGTTTATATTATCGAATTCTGATATCAGTTATGATGTTACTTACACGTAGAAAGATACTGCAAAGCAGCCATGGCCAACTGAGGTGAGATCCGCAGTTTCGTGTCGAGTCTCTTGTTCACGAATAGGGACTCGTTTTCTCGAGCTTCGTTTCTTCGCAATCGTTTTTTTGTCCGATTGTCAGCTGCAAATTATTTGTACATCATCAAGAAGCAAGAAAATTGACGATAATGCACTCCCTTCACGATAAACTTTTTATTCGCAAATAATTGAAAGAAGGGCACAATGGGGAATTCAAAATTCGGAAAAGTTCGCTGGCTTCGCGAACTGAATGAGGTTTTCTACTGCTTTTTGAAATTAAATTCATTACAGGGTTATTGAAGAGAATTGTACCATTTAAATGCTTTCATCGCCGGATTTTCACCGGAATACAAAATTCGCTCTCAAGGTTCAGAAATAATTCGAAAAAATGAACCTGATCACGACTATCAAAAAAGTTACATGACGCTTAAAGTTTCAAAAGCTGGCTGAGTCTATGAGCAAATCGCAAATCAAGGATATTTTGAATTCTTCCAAAGAATCGACTTAAGATTGACAGTTCGGAAGAAAAGCTCAGTAACCTCGCCTTCCCCAGAAACACCTCCCCGGATTCCTCAAGAAATTCTTTGAAAACTGGAAGTAGAGCAGCCAGTTGGGGGTTTTTTTTTTTTGCCACCGCCGTCATAAAAAATGCATCAAACCGAATGACTGAAGGTAAAATTACGGCAATGACGTCAAACACGTCATTCAAAAAACATTCCTCTCAGGTTATCCTTCAGGGGGAGGAAAAAAAACATGAACGGTTGGGTACTCGCAGTGGAAGACGTGAAAATTTGATGGCAAAGTACGACTTTGGTGAGTGACTTTTGTAGCCAGAGCAGGTGTTAAAGGCGAACTTATTAAAGGAGCTAGTGCAGGAGCTCTCAATGTTAGGGCTACTGAAGCATTTTGCCTAGGAAGAGGGGGCATAGCTAAACTTGCTGAATAAAAGCCATATGCCCACGGTCGCCTGCGAAAATGTGATCAAAATGGTCCACGAGAACCCTATTTTCAAAGCTCAGCTTCGTCTCTTTCATTTAAAGAATGGACTCACTCATTAAAAAATTGCGAATAACCAACCGAACATACGGAAAAGTAGGGCAAAGTTTAATATAGTACGGTACCTATAACACAACGACTCATATAATCGCGAGAATCTCTACGAATTTATAAATAAAAATTTTAGCACGGAGGTTTTTGATGGAAGTTTATGAATCATCAAAGAGGTAATACAAAATAGTTCTTTAAATAACCTAAAATTCGATTGTCCTCTTTCACAAATATTTGGAAAATTTCCCTCGAGATCGCACAGGTGGTTTCAATTTGATTTACAATACGTGGTTTCAAGTTGATTAACAATAAGTGGGTTCAAGTTTTTCAACAATAAATGGTCTCAAGTTGATTGAGAATAATGCATTGAGATAAAGTATTCCGAAGGCCAAAGGCAGTCGAAATCCGGTACGTTCAACAAATCAATTAGCTTCACAAAAATTAATTCCACAAGCAACGCAAAATTCAGGACACAATTTGACGATTTCCAATAACTCGTACCTCCTTTAAACTGTCTGAAAATGACGTCAAGGGTTGTATCGTGAAACGTGAAGAAGCAGGGATTTTGATAGAAATCGCACAGCGTCTTCAACGGGGATAGTAGTAGTCCCAGGTAGTCGTGGTTCAGGAAGTGTATGTCGTGAGGTTGCTATAACCTGGCTAGAGAGAGCATTTGACCTTAGGAGCTCATCGGAACTTTTAAGTAAGGTATTATAATACCCCTATTCAATTTTGTAAAATAAACCCCAACGAATTTTTTCAGAACGAGAATTGACCCGATCTGATTTTAAAATGTAGAGTACACTAGTATTTCGCGACGTCAGGCGTCGAGAAGATTCTAAAAATCAATGCAAACTAATTTTAGCACAGGAATTAATATTATCTCGGTCACAACGATTTTCGATTGTCAAGAGAATGATGAAAATCAATCGTCGAAGCACCAACTTGACAATCGGATAATCAGGTACCGCGGAATTGGATTCCAGACAAGAATTGATTCAATGTCAGTTACAATTTCAAGAAGTTTCTGCGTCACAGACAAGAAACGATCAATGCCTCGTTTGGAGCTCACGGGTTCGGGATATTAAGAAAGATTCATGCATTCCACATTCTAAACTGGGCAGAAATTGATACAATCTCCGTCGCATTTGAAGAAGGGTTTCTCAGACGATGTATGACAAAACGATATTCACCGTTCCGTCGAATCTCCGACATCGTAGTAAAGTCCAACACGGCTTCATACGACAGCATGAATACATCGTCAAGCTTCGTCATCACCTCGGAAACTGTCTTCTTCTTCAAGTCAAGTGCACCGGATATTATGTTCACTTCATCCCTTTCCAGATCATTGTACTCATTCGTAACCTAGACGAACACAAAAATGTGATCATGAATAATAGTCACACTCGGGATAAGGCGCTACCCTCAGCAACCAACAATTTATTTTGAAAAAAAATCATTTCTAATGGTAATAAAATCGGAAACCCCGTTTAAACGCCATCTGCCAAAATTATTGACAACTCAAATATGCTCTTGCCAATCTTTTTTTTCTTTTATAGTCCGCCAACAAAATTCAAGTTTCTGTGAGAGGTCTCCAATTAAATTTAAAAAAAACATGAACACAAAGATGACAAAATTTACTTCTTGAAATCAATAGCTAGATATAATTTACGAACCAAGATTATTTCGATGGTTTACTAACGAATAAGACCTGCATTTCTTATTACACAGTACTTGATTTTCGCATTATTTTAACTTCTTTGATAAACCATCAACCCCGCTAAATCGCTACAAACAAATGATGGCGGCTTATCGAGGTTTGACTCGTACATCTTCCGACAACGCAAACATGTTGCCAACCATTCAGGAAAATCGAAAAGTACCAGAAAGAAATATTTTCGAGACATTTTCATAAGATCAGATGGATTATGAAACTAGTTGGTACAACTTCGGGTGGTAATCTGCGCGTGAAATATTCGGAATAACTTTTCAAAAACCTTACGAACACGACGACGTCAAACCAGAACATATACTGCATACATTTATAAGTTAGTCAACGTATTGCACTCAAAACCGAAGGCTGACGGACATTAATACTGTAGTAACTGAATCGTTCCGATTGAATCAAAGATACGAAATCGACGTGTGTCGAGAAGTGACAGCGATTTAGTCAATTAGGATGAGAGAGGTGATAAGGGGTAAGTGGTAACAGTTGAGAAATTTGCTGAAAATGCAGACAGAAAATTGATTCAACATACTAGACGCGTATTATTCTACTTCGGCGCATTTTTTTCGAGGTTACTCACATAATCAAACCAAACTGCATTTCATTTAAATCCTCGTCCAACATGAAGAAATGATTTCGCTCAACTTATCTCTTGTTCTTCTGCTCTTTTCGGTACGAGCTGTTTCAAGCACGCACCGTTTTCAAACACGCTCGTCTGCGTAGTTGTGACTTTTTTTCTCATCTTTCTGTCCATAAAACACACAGAAGCAAAGGCGGCGGCAATTCCGACTTTCGGTCATTTTGAAAACAAAAATGTATCACACAGAAGAAGAAAAATTTTGTGGACGCGTTCGTCTCTTTCTGGTGAACATGGCCACATCGTGGAAACATGTCAGAAATTTGAAAACACATCACGTTCGCTTCTCGCGTGATGCGCAGAATATAATATTGTTTGAGCGCTGATTTTTTTTTCGAGTTTTTCCTTCTGATCTTACTCATCTTAGTTCATTGTCCAGTAGAGTAACAAATCTCAATTCCCCCTGAATTTTCTCCTCTATAGCTTCCGTCATGCGGAACTAGAGAGCAAACACACTCGCTTATGCAAACATGAACGCGTGAAACGACTTTCGAAGTCATGCTTATGCAGAAGACGAGACTTTGAATATGTGGATATTTCGAATAACCGTGTTTACTTGAGGTTTCCTGGAAAACGTTCTTTGTTTTTCCTAACTGCGGAATTTATCCGGTATTCAATTTAGAGAATGATGCAATACTTACCGATGCATGCAGAAACGAATGTTTCGATGCCCGGTGTCTAGACTTTTCACTGAGAGACGCACAGACAAAATTAGCCTTTCGATGTGAAACGTTTACATGATGATGATTTTTGATTCACGTGTGAGTTTTAAACTTGCTGCAATTAGTAATGGTGAACTTTCTTTGCAGCGTTCAGAATGAGTTTCGTCATGTAATTTTACGAAGAAGACGAACTAAGGGTTTTGCGAGGCGCACAATCGTAAGTTTAGGATCTTTCAGAATCGACGCTCTTCGTTCCTCTCAGAATCCATTCGTAAAAACTACTACAGTATTTACAACATAATTCAAATTCAATGACTTCTATATTTCAGCGCTAAATGTTTTGCAAATTCCATACAAATTGAAGTTTAGAACGGGTCAACTAAAATGTATGCGCTTTTCAATTGTTGGTGGCCCAATGTACTGTACTTCACGAGGAAGTTCATCTTCCATAATTAAGGTAAATATTAAACCATCATTTCAAAATATAGAGCGTGCATTTCGGGGAAGTCGATGTCGTGGCCGAATGAATGCCTGCACATAAAATCCACATTTATTCGTGTTGAATATTCAAGGAATATACACCGTAATCTATCATACTCGAGTACACCACGCAACATTTTTTTTTACAAAATTAAGAGAAGGTGCACATCATAGGAGAGTAAAACATTTTTGAACATTTTTAAAGCATTGGTGCTCATCAAACTTGATTCCAAGGGGGAATTTTGAACTGATTTCAACAGACAATTTGAAAATGATGGAAAATCAAAATTGAATTTGACTGAAATTAAAGATAAAATTTAAATTCTGATGCATTTTATTTCAAAAAGATTTCAATTTTCAGTCTCTAAAAATGGGGCATGCCTTTTTAATCTAAATTTTAGATTGAAAATGCAGATGCTTGCCTTGCTCAGGGGCGCCTGGTACTCAAGTGAATACAGTACAGTGCTATAGCTCAATTTCATTTTTTCTTCATGTGAAAACAATTTTTCATCGAAGTTTCCCTGCTAATCGAAATGAAAAAATAGAATTTTTAGTAACTGTTTTTCAACAGTTTATACAGTATATGCGAACTGATTCTGTTGGATTGCGATATTGAAATAGTTTAGCTCATCATTAGCTGTGGAATAGTATCCGCATGCATTTTAACAAACAACAATTATAGATTTAAATTCTCTACTTTCATAAGGTGTCCAAAAAGTTGCAATATCGTAATGAATTTTTAACGCAAAAAGCTTGGTTACCGTAACGTAACGTAGAAAAATTCACTTTGAAATACACTACGTGATTCTTCAATTCGAAGAAACTTGAATTTAACTGACAAAGACTATCGATGAGGTTCGCAAAATACAGTAATGTAAAATTCTTCGAGTAAATCGATCCCAATTCTTTCGAAGAAAGCTTTCCAGCATAAAATAAAAATAAAAAACTTGAAAAAAACTCGAAAATAGAAGAACCCGGCTTTGAATTTTCATTTCAGTGAAATAAAATGGATTCGAGTCACGAAGAAGCGATTCGTTCAACGCTAAAATAAATGCCATGATGAGGGTTTTTTTTTCTTTTCATTTTCCAGGGCTTTCCTCATCGCAATGCGAAAGACAGGCTGGCATCCATCCGTTGCTACCTCACAAAAGTTTCATTATCATCGGACTGGTAGCGGGGAACAGGATGCGAGGAGCCAACCGCCAGGGAAACAAAAAGTCGATCCCCGGAACAGTAACAAGCCCCAGCAAAAGGACATCACCGTATTCTTGCGAATAGACCTTCATTGCATTCCACGAAAAAAGCCAAGCATAAGTAAAGCGAGAACTTTTTTCATTCCGCGGCACGTCTTGAAACAAGTAAAACTAAATAGGGAGATTATGACAACGTGATCTCCGCAGACGCAAAAATTCGAAACTTGTCGGCTTCGGGACGTATGGCAAACTTTTTCAAGCATAAAAAAAATTATTGCCGCATTCATGCCAACACGAAATTCGATCCAACTCGAAAAGCAAACCTACTTTACGGTCTGAATCGAACTGAAAAATGCTCGCTGGCTACCCTGTATTTCACAATACTGCACAGTACGCCAGAAACTCCAGCTCCAGTATTTCGAGAAGTGCAACAATTTTCTGAGGACATGCGCAGTATTGTACGTCCTCAATCACATTATATTGCGAAGATAAAATGTATGAAAATGAGGGCTTACTAGTTTTCGGGGAAAATTAACCTCGTAAATAATACAGGTGGACTCTCTTTCCACAACGATCTGGTCTACGAAGATTTCCTTTTAATTTCAAATTTTATTTCCTTCCTATATGGTTCTCTCCAACAAAATTCTCTTGACAGCGAATATATATTTCCAGTCCCTTCGACTTTCGTTCTAGACTATCAAGAGAGTTCTAAGGGTATCCCCGCAACGAAACGAAAAAAAAAATTAAGAAAATTTCCCGAAATGATTTTTCAAATGTTCCTTTTGAATTTAAATGTTTTTCTTTCTGGATTTAAAGCGCAGATCATCTTTGTAAATTTTGATCAGAGTTGAAAGGATTTCCAATGAGTATACTGTACGAGGAATGGTGCTAAAATAAACGAATAATTCGAACGATCACCCTTTTTTTTTTTCTCGGACCAGCAATGAGCACTTCCACTCTGATCTGGTTAGAATCAATCGACTTCCGAGTCGCACCTAGAGTGCAATTTATACTTGCATAAATACCGCGTGAATACCGAAACGAAAACGAGGCAAAAAAAGCAACTCCACCTATTGGTGTTCCTTTCAGGCAGCAAGAAGGAAAAATAATGAACGAGATGCTCACCTTGACAAGTTCTTTGAGACGCTCGCGATTGTAGTAATTTCCAATCTCTTCGCCCAGAAATTTATCGAGGATCTTGGAAATGGGATACGAAAGAGGGAAGGTAGCCGCCATGAAAATTTTCGTAATCCACACCGTCCACGCGCCTATGGCCAGTCCGTGTCGCGAGCAGATTGCTTGCGGGATAATCTCGCCGAAAATCACAATCCCCATCGTCGATCCAACAACGGCAACCAGCCCAGACGTCAAGTCGTCCAGCAACAACGTCAGCGACGAATTCACCAACACATTTCCCAAGAGCAGCGAGCACAATAGATAGTTGCCCAGCTGCCGCACCGGCATCACCTAAATCAGATCGCAATGAATGAATGAACGAAAATAGTTTCAGACATCCTAATCTATCCCGGATCAAAAAATGTAAAAAGAAAATTCTGTATCCAAACGAAAAAAAAAATTGCCTCTGAGAATTGTGAGAAATTCCCAGTGAGTCCCCCAAATAATGAAAAGCAACCCGCTCCTGGATGCGTTTCCGTACGTGGAATTTTTGTAACGCGAAACGCGATTTTTCTTAAGGTTACATTTCTACTAGAATAATTTGTTTTAGAATTCACCAAAAGCTTATAATAAACCTCAGTAACAGCATATTATTCTTAGATTGCAGCATGACATCGTGATTGAAATTTGATTAGTGACAAGTCTGTGCTACTGTATCATCTTTTTGAATTTTAAAATTTTACAATAAAGAAGTTGCAAAAATATAAAATGTTAACAACTTTCCTGAAATTTGGTGGAAAATTAGAAGTTTTGGCTCTAAACTTGGAGTCGAGTGCTTTCCGGCCAAAAATTTCTTAAGATGAAACAATTTTCTTATGCGATAATGCGAGTCAAGTTTTTTCCAATAAGAACTTCCTTCGAGGATTTTTCGTTTTGGTCTTTCCCATATGCGGGGACTCACTGTACTATTAATTTTTAGTCAAATCGAATAGGAAAATTTCCATTCGTGGTGCGCGAAAAATCTTCTCGCGTGAAGATTAATTTCCTATCAAGTTGTCTTTCAAATGAGAAGAAAAGTAATTTTGGTGAAAGGCCCAAACATGTAAATAAGGATGAAAATGCATTGGGCTAGGAGTACAATTTTAAATTCAAGAGAGGACATCGAAAATTCTCTTTGCATACACCAAATATTTTTTTTTGTTTTCTTCCCTTTTTTAAAATCAAAATTATGTTGATTCAAAACGAACTGTATTTCACACATTCCAACAAACTTGATTTTGCACAAATTAAATTTTAATTATCAGAGCAGAACAGACATTTTCCTAGTTATACTGGGTTTTCATGAGCACAACACACAGACAAGTTTATAAAATATTTCCGTTCAGAAAGTTAAGGGGAATTTGTACAGTATTGGACTTCCGTTGCTTCTGACAACATACCTATTGAAGACAACAGTATTCTCGATTCTCTTTTATGGGAGTTCAGAGAGACATTTTCAGATGAACTCTCTATTTTGAACCTGACTTACTTCAAAACTCCAAATCATGTGCTGATCTTCTTGAAAAAATAATATTATAACACTTTGGTATACGAAGTACCTCCTCAGAATACACCCAACACCAGGCTTGGATACGGTATTCAAAGTATACCTCACCTTTTGGGCATAACGCTTCTCTTTTTCAGACCCAGTGTTGCAGATTATCTTCAAGTCAGTTCTGTCCAGCGCCATGAGACCGAGATTCAAACCAGAAAACAGTCCAGACAGAATCAATAGAATGGCGATGATGAGCAACTGGAGCCAGACCGGAAGCAACCTGGAGTCTGTGCGAATGAGAAGCGCTGGATCCGAACCCAAGACATTCCAAGCTATGCCAACCCCCGCAATTTCTTGCTTCAGACACAGGTAAAATCTACCATCTGAGCTCGACATGTCTGGTAATTTCACAGGCAGAAACGCAGCATTCGAGTTTATTCCTGCGTCTGTCGTGAATACGCGCGTACTACCAGAGTCATCGCACATGGTATCATTGAACTCCGAAGGCAAGCCGTAGGCAAACTTGAATTTCAATCCTGCAATGAATGCATTGATTGAAGAATCTTCAGTCAGGAGTATGTATCTTCGATTTCAACAGAAAGATACGCGTTAGACGATTTGATTCTGAAAACACGATGACGACGAGACACTGTTTGAGCACGTGGATGATACCAATTACCATTTCATGAGCTGAAAAGTTAATTGTAGTCGGCAATTATGTCAAAAAACGCGGATTGTTCATTTTCCACAGGAGACCCCCAGATTTTTTACGGTGAACTTAACAGTAAGAGACTTCCCCGACACTATCTGAAGGGGGTCCGGAAGTAAATTAATCCAAAATCAAGTTTGGGAAGTTGCATTTCCAAAAATAACTGAACTGGCCCCGATCAACAAAATATTCTAATGAATAGACTAAAAAAAACACTCGACTTGCAATTACTGTACAGTAAAAAGTATCAGATACGAGCTGGGCTTATCTTAAAAGTAAAGGAGTCTCAAATGCCACACGCGCGCATTTTTTACGTGGAGTAAAAGCTGAATTCTGGATTATTCATCAACAGACTTTTGGAATTGTGTTGCAGGCCTTTAGAAAAACATTGAGGATCACTATACAGTACTGAACACTTGATACAGTTCTGTACTGTATTACACTTCTGTACTGTATTACACTTCTGTGTAAATGCCTGTTATACAGTATTAGCCTTCCCGCTTCAGTCGCAGAAGTTAAGGGTTCAGGAACTCAGATCACGAAGAAAAATCGCCATTATTTTCAAGATCATCAGCCCCATTTCAAGCCAACACTTGAATGTGAATTAAACACGCGGAAAATAAATTTGAAGAAAAAACGAATGTTCCACTCACCCGATCCAAGGTTTTTCCCAAAAATCCGCAACACAGCATCGGTATTCGCCATTATTGTAGCAATACCGTCGTCATTATTGTAGGGGTTTCTTCCACCGCCGCCCTCAACTCTCAAGCCAATAATTTCAACGTCCGCAGGAGCACTTCTTTTCGACCGCAAATGCTTTCTGGCTCCAATTTCCAACTCGGAAAAAATGGGTTTTGCTTCGAGACCCATGTGAACCCATTGATGATTGCTAGCATTTTTGGAGCAAACAAAATGATCCTTCGAAAGTGAATGAGTTCCGACTTCTTTCTGCTGAATATCGGGCATCGGTATCACCACTTCTGAAGTGAAATCACAAGCCTTTTTCACTCGGATGGGTTTCGTTTGAATAGACAAACATGGGCTGTTCTTCGGACCATAGAGATTGGAGAGGACAATATCACTGGATACTAAACTGGTGTCAACATCCACACGTACTAGATAACCAAAAGGTTTCCCGGGATACTGTCTGCTGAACGGAATACACCGGTTGGTTCCGCCACATAGTTGGGCAGAGCAAACCACCACGAAGACAACGGTAAGAAGGATAGCACCACGGTTCATTCTTGTCAGGATGAGACGGACGAGAGGGAAGAATTAACGTCAAGTGTGCTTCATGATTATAGTCCAAAGCACTGCAAGTATTTCGGCACTTCTGGCGCAGTGTCGTGTTACAATGCTCGGATGAAATGCCGGCATCCTCAAGTTCACAACTTTCGCGTTAGTTTCAAAACAGACTAATCTGCCCACGCGGTATGTTAGCACACAACGATAACCTAAGAACGCAACGGGTTTGAAAAAGAATAACAGTTCACTGATTAATGACGGTCAGGGCAACAAAAATGTGATTGAGCAGACACGTCTATCCCACAAATTAAAACTTACGAGTTGAACACAATTCCATCAGGAAACCCCGGAGGTACTGACTTCCTCATGTAGTTCACTCTTCGTTAAGAAAAAACAAACAAATTGCCGAACCAGTTATTTCATAAAATCCGTAAGAATGGCTTCTTCATGCATCGACCATGGCATGAACTATATTAGACACAATTCTACTCAATTTGAAGTCTACGGTCTTCGTGAAGATGTTCCTCAGCTCCATCTCACAGGTAATCTCGTGGACAACTTCAACTTTTTCTAAATGTTTTAATTGATATTTTAATTGCTTTTACTTGAAATTAAACATTCTGGGAAACGCCGCAAGGCTCGGCCTATCATTAATTTTTTCCCATCGTGTCATACGATAATAATTCAAAAATTTGAAACGGTAATACGTATTGTAACACGCTTCCGCAGTACGTGAATCGACGGTAAAAAAAAAATTAGTCACTCAGGAGCCAACGGATATCTCACAAAATACACGGGCGCAAAAAAAATAAATAGAAACGACTAATTAATGATCACGCATTTGTTTTCTGCTTTCTACAGGACACGGCATCAGCCGGTCGGAAGATAATGCAGCAGAGTTCGGGTTATCACTCCAAAGAGGATGTCACGCATTCCATAAATTCAGTCGGTCATCATCATCAGTGAGCATCGACTCGATTATGCAAGCTGAGCTACGGATGACCTGGAACTCACGAATGCTTAGATTAGATAGGTTTGCAATCGCTTTTTTAGATAGGCCTCACACAGACAAAATCCATTCCCACAATGACTCTCTCCATGGCTCAACTCCTTCAAGTAATAAAGTTCGGTTTGAAGATAGTCATCGAGTTGCATACATAAAAGGCAGTTAATTTTAGTCCTGACTCCGCATCACAAACTATTGCACAATACTCCGTCAAGGTAGGTCTGGAGTAGTTGACAAGTAGTAAGGTTTCATAAATAAGTCCTCCGCCAGGGCACTAGAATCTCAGAGTATTTATTCAAGTCCATACTCCGTTCAGATGGCAGCAACACAAACACCAAGTCAATTCACGCGTCACACAATATAAAAATAGATGTCAATGGTTCGGAAGTCCAAAGCGAAGTGACTCTCCAGTCTCCTGGTCCTCTCCGCATCTCCTCCGATCAAGATTACCATCTTCCTGTTGGTTAAACTCAGGTGGGCAAGTGATCAGACTACGAAGGTTTCTCTTTGTTGGTAGTAGATGTCGCTCTAAGGGGTTCCGATAGGAGGCCCTTACTAAGTCAAGGCTCAAAAACATTCAGTAAGGCCCTTCCCTTACCCACTAGAGCGACACCTAGGCGATCTTACTGGAGAAAGTCCAAACGTCCCAAGAACCCACCCAGTTCTTCCTTATCTCTTGCACCATCGGAGGAACCACCGCAGGAGGCTCGGACGGCAGGAGAGGACTGGCATTCTGACTTTAGCTCTTGACTGGACATCATCTCTTAACTTTGACCTGAGTGTTATTTGTGTTGCTGACTTCAAGAAATATTACAAGTGTGTTCTGCCTGGGCTTTACAAATGGAGACACAATCCGAACAAAATCGCAATGTTCCGGACAACGAGACTCCCGCCCCGAACATCAATCCGACACCCCAGCCGCTACCAGCCAGACCGCTACAGCCACCACGGATTCCCGTCGAGACACCGGCAGGCTCATCTCGTTCGATGATCACGTCCGCCTCGTCCGGCTCCTCGTCCTCGTCCAGCGTATGGGAATCCTTGCCGCTGTCTACGTTGCAGTTCCTTTCCGAGACGTACCGACTTGGGCATCCAGACATCCTCACCAAGGCCGAATACGCCATGCATCTCGACAAGTTCCAGGTACCTCTTTCCGCTCTCTTCACCGTTCCACCGCAGCACCAGATGTCGTCGCAGTCAACACCGTTCGTCCATGTTCCCACATCGGGTCCGGTCGCATGTCTTCCTGCACAACCACCCCGCTGGTTCGCGGAGCTGCAGATTCCAGAGCTCCCCAAGCAACAGGCCGAAGAAGAATTCGAAGACTACGCAATGAGACTCAGGAATCGTCTTGACATTGACAACATCAACAATGGACATCGTGTACGCTGCCTCATGGACAACACGCTTCCGGAAATACAAGGTACGGCTCATCGTCTATACAAACGTGGAATTACAGGCTTCAAACCTCTCGTTGCGGCAATCGCAAGCCGCCATCCCACGCCACATCTCGACTGGCTCGACACGTTTCGTCGGATGAAACCACGAGAGGGTGAAAGCTACATCTCCTTCGCCGAACGTCTACGCGATCAATACGAAACCTTCTTACCCTTGTCTGCTGATCTTCTTGACGCCACAGAACCCCTTTTGGAGCAGATCTTCATGGAACAACTTCTGCGAATCTCCGAGGGGGGCTTACGGGACGAATTACAACGCAAGTGGCTGAAAAACCGCAACATGAAGTGGGACGAGCTCATCGACATCGCCGAGGCTTATTGGCTAAATCATCGTGACCAGACAGAGAAGACCTCGTCAAACAACAATACCCAGAAGTCTGGTTCCAGGCCCCGTCTCAACCTACCTCCTCGTCAGTGGTGCGATCACCACAAGCGACATATGCGTCATGGCTCACATGAATGTCGCTTACGTCCAAACCAGTCGTCGGAAAACTCGTCTTCATCGGATTCAGGTTCGTCCAAACCACCCGCTGCCGCGTCCACTTCGCAGTCAACGCGTGCATCCGGTTCTCATCGAAATTCCGACAATCCTCCGGTCTGCTTCCATTGTCGAAAAACCGGTCATAAGCTTCGAGATTGTCCGCAGTTTCAGGAAAACTCCAAATAGGCTCAGTGAATGCGGCACACTGCGCTTCGACGATTCTCTCCGCCGCTCCTCCTCCAGTGGTTCTCTCCGTCAAACTTCTGGATCGACAACT